GGTGACCTGAGATGACCTCAGGGTTATAAAAAGGGGTCACGGGTGCCATTTTCATGTTCAGTGTGTCAAAGATACTAGTAATCCAGTGTTTTAGAGTGTTTATAAATTATAATGACTTCCGTCTAAAAGACTTCCGTCTCTCTCCCCGGCGATTTTCAATTTTAGGTCGCAAAATTGACCTGACCTTATGTCATCGATATCAAAATTCCAAGACATACATTTTGTGCATTTTGTCGCTCTTGTGCATTTGCATCTCTGAAAGTTCCAAAGCGTTTGGTCACTCCGTGTAGCTTTGGCAGACATTGAAACTTTTTATGTAGTGAGGTCATTTGACCTGACCTGGTGACCTGGCCTTAAGTGACCAGGGTCTGAAATTTTGACAACACATGTGCAAATGATGTAGGATAGTGTGCCGCGCCGCCGTTTTTGAGATATTCACGGAAAACTGCAGGGGGTGTTTAAACACCCCCCGGCAGGGCGCGGGTTAATCCATGAACATAGCTCAGCTTATTTCTGTAATATATGCCTGTGGCTGTGTTGGTATTTTTACGATGGATGCAATAACCCAAACCATTTATCAGATCGTGGTGATATTCCCATAGCCATGCTTCGCACAACTCATAATAATTTATTTGACCGGGACATTAATATATATCCATCGATTGTTTGTTTCATGTACGGCGTAAATGAAGCAAACCACCTGGACCTAGGAAAATTTACTAACGAAACCATGTTTTACCTACAGCAAGTAAACGTGGCATGCATCATTCACACAGAAAGAATTGATAACCTATAGTTTCAATCTTGCAGACGTCAGTTAGGTCAGAATCGTGACAAGCCTATTGGAAAATATAATGAACTGTGTCCTGCTTCGAGAAAACGAGTCAAAACCACCCAATTCTTTCTGAATTACGTCAGATTATCTAATCTGTAAGCACCCAGATGGCATTTACTGACAGGGACACCGGGAAGGATCATCTGAGGTGAGGTGAGGACATCAACAGTTTTTAGCCAATAAATCACGTCATGATGGGGCTAAATAGTTGTTAGTGTACCAAACTGTTCGCCTGTTCATGAGCATGACGCGTTGATTGGTACCCAGCGTGACCTTCCTAGGTCAGATTTTGAAGTTGACCTATCTATGTATAGGTCATTATAAACCATGTTATTTGTTATGACCTCTGGCGACCTCAATATTGACCTGACTCAAAAAAGTTGTTTACAAAAGTCGTACTTGTAAGTCGTTCAACGAACTATCAAACGCCGTTGCCGTTTGTCGCTACGATTCGTGCTTTTCGAGTTCTGACGGGGGCCAAAAAGGCCCCCGCCTGATTCAGAGTCTTTCAGAGCCCGCCCGGAATACGGTTAAGCGCCATGATAATACACCAAGTGTTACTCTGACCGTCATCCAGTATCCACCCATTCCTCGCAGATCCTCCCCCTCTTGCTGCGGTCCGGCCGCCACCGCCGCCGCCGCCGCCGCCCGAGTTTTTTTTTTTTTTTTGCCAGTTACCATGCCACTCGGTGACTTGTGATATGCGTATGTTTCTTACCGCTGCAGCGGTAAGAAACATACCAGTGCGCTGGCCATATGAAAGCTGAACAAAAGTGAATGCATTATGTTGTATGTAATTATGTAGGCATGAGACCATCTGTAGAAAGGAGGCCCCTTTAGGGAGGAGGCCCTCTGTAGAAAGGAGGCCCCCCGGGATTCCTCCGCCCCTCCCTTGGCCAAATCCTAGCTACGTGCCTGGGCTGGAGACGTCTGAAAAAATGGCCCGTTTCACGGGGCGGCTATATTTTGCATCCACTATTCCCTGCAGGCATCCGTCTGGCTGGTCTCTCTCGTGTCCAATGTGAACTGACCTTTACTGATGGTTTCTGTCGAGTCGGAGACTGGTTTATTGGCGTCTGGTGTGAATGACCACATATCAGTCACAGTGCCGAATTCTGGCCGGGGCTGTCGCCGTTCCAAATAACCAGTTTCCGGCTGGTACTAGTTAACCCTCGCATGTGTGCGGCGTTTGCCAGCTTCTAATGTGTAGGGGGGGGGGTCGGTTGGACCCCCCCCTTGCCGTTTGGCCCCTGATCGAGCTAGAGCTTCGCGGAAAAAACGAGCGTGTTGCCCGTGACGAGAGGAAGCCGATGATACCCAATTTTAAGGTCCTAGGTCATTGGTTGACCTTCCAGGTCAGGTCAATGACCCAAAGTCGGGAAAATCGGGACCTGTTAGAAAGTCGTAAAGTGCGGCTGCTAAGGGGTTTTTCGGGGTGCTGATCACGAATATCGTGTTAGTTTTGATCACAGATGATGTCTTGAAGCATTTAGACCAGGTCGGGTCAGGTCAGGTCAGGTCAACCAGTAGGCGTCGTGACGGGTATTCGTAGTACGTGTCAACCGCCTCTGCCAGCTTCGTAACATGTTACGAAGTCACCAAAACTACTTCGTAAATGTTCAAATGGTTGCTAAATTCGAATTCAGCTCCAAAAACTAGCCTAGAAACATGTAAAACTCGAAAAAGTGACCCGAGGTCACCCGAGGTCACCAAAGGTCAATGACCTGACCTGACCTTCAGGTGACCTTGACACACACGGGAGTAACATCAAATCACATGTTTGAACGTTTGAAACCACGAAAAGCTTGCAAACACGCGGCTAGTGCGAGCCGACATACGCGAAATCGCGATTCCGGCCAAACATGGTCTCGGAAAAGAGGTCACAGGTCAAAGGTCATTTGGGTCAGGGTCATGAAATTTTCAGGGTAGGTGTAAAATTGATCAATGCGAGGGTACTGAAAGTTTGGTCGCGATCGGCCGCTTTTTACGCGAGTTATTCGCGAAAAACCATGGGGGGGGTCCATCCGACCCCCCCCCTACACATGCGAGGGTTAATTCACTGGTGGTCGTTCCAGCGTGAGGAAATATGAACACATGTGGAAAATGTGATGTGGTGATTCATTGTCATCATGATGTGTCCTTCCGCTAAAAAATGGCCCAAGGAATTCAATCAATCCTAGATGATTTTGCTGATTCAATTCTTTTCAGTTTGTTGAGCCATTTCGTCTGTGAATGGCGTTCTGTGGGGTTGTAAAGAACAACGATTTCGGCCAGCTAAAACGAATGAATGAATGAAACTCGAATGTCTCAGTTTATGACAAGCTTCCAGCCCGTGACACAAGCAATCTGAGAGGTTCGGAAAGTTTTGCATGTCAACTGACAGCTACCTCAATTCGAGGTGCCGTGCCGGGAGATGAACTGTTTCGTTTTAGTCCGATGTCAGGCATTCAAAGTGAAGCGTCTTCATCACGTATTCTTGCTATAAACTCACACCGTTTTCTCTCACCATTATGTCTCACTACCACAACTCGTTAAAGGTCAGTAAAGGCTGTCATTATTGTTCAGCACCAGCCACCAGTACTTTCCTCTCACCTCTCACCATTTTGTTTTGCTCATTTTCTGTGAATATCCAGTGTACCGGTTTGAGATCAGGACAAAACTGGACTGGCTGTTGGCATTTGACGTAGTTTGTCAGTGCATAGAGAACGAGAGATCCGTAATTACATTTTTCTATTATTCATGGACAAACATCGGGAAACACACTCGGCTTACAGCTGTGGTCATTGAGGAGGCTTGGCTCATAGCACGCTCATATCGTGCCTGTCTGGGACGCCATCTTGTAACAGATCTGGAGCCAGCACAGAAGAAACGCTTAGCATCTGTTGATGAGATTGCATGTGAAAAGCAAGCAAGAAAAGGGATCCGCGAGAATTAAATGCAGGCTGTGAGAAGTAACTCGAACATCAATCATGTATGAGTAGCAGCATGAGACCATCAGTGTAAAAGTGTGATTAAGTGAACGTTTCAAGTGTTTTTTTTTTGTCTGTTGCCGGTTACTGAAACCTGTGCTTTGATACATGAACAAGTTTACGGTAATGATCCCGATTAAAGTTCGTCGTCTTCAATTCATTGCCAACTTTACCACAGCTTTTGTTTTACTGGGCACCGACTGGACACGATTTTATCGTGCATGATGAAGGGAACTCACATCTGCTTTGCTGACAGCGGTTCTGACAGCAGCTGCCAGTAGCTGACATGGCTGATATGACAAACATCTGTGCCAAGACGCCGCCCGGACGACCGTCACGTAAACTGTGTGACGTCATGCCGAGACATGTGACGTCACAAGCTGGGAGACGTGACACTAAACCTCATCGCGGTATTTCTCATTCAGTCTGACATGGCGCAGCTCACATATAGCCCGAAATTTCTCAATCGGACAGCATACAAAATCGGCAGCAAACTCGTCCGAAACGGTTTGAGTCGTGCTCATGAACGATGACAGCACCGCGTCTCGTCACACTTGCCAATTACACGATCCAAAGACGAACTTCTCACCGGTATAAAGGTTACTACGAGGCACTAAGAATTACTATCAACAACTGCTTCATTCCGATGTATGTAGTGATGCTTGAAAGAGTGAGCTGAGCTATATCGGAAGCGAACAAGGGCGGATAATTGTCATACTCGTAATCCCAGGGGGTGCTTTTCCAGCACCTGGCGAATGGAGGCGTCCAATTCTTGCGTAGAAAAGCTACGCTTACCCAACAGCATAACTCTCCTCGCGACTAACGCAAAGGAGTTTGTGTCTCAGACGTAATTTAAGCAACCACTGGAGCTCTATTACATTGTGACCTTTGAATTTCAGGGGGTGCTCGAGCACCTCTAAAACCCCTAATCCTCCACCCCGGCCCTGGAAACGAATGGAACTTTGATATGACTGATGCGCTGGCTGGTTCGATGCTACATATAAAGCTCTCCGGTAAATTAACTCATGCCAAACTTCCTGCGTTTGATAGCCATGTCACTGGGCCAGACGTGGCAGAACCTTTAAGATACCCATAACTTTCAATTTCTGTCCACATCGCTAATCCAATGCTTACAGGGATGACGTTCCCACAAATTTTCATGAATCCGCCTTATTAACATCACCCGTTCTCCTCAGATCCGGAAAGAGCGGAAACGGCAGAGACTAAACGAAGAGGAGGACGGAGGGGGTCGCAACTGTCGTCCGGCACCGCTGGCGGCGACATGTGCCTCCCCTCCCCAGGAGGCTCCTGCCGCCACTGCCACCTCAGCGTCCTCCGCGTCTGCCGCCGCTGCCGCCGCCGCTGCCGCCGCCGCCGCGTCGCAGTTGTCCGAGCAGGACAAACGGGAGATCGACCAACTCATTCAGAAGTTCTACGCCTCGTAAGTACCTACAGTTTGGTTCCACCTAGAGATTGCAATCCCGGGATCGGGATCCCGGGATCCCGGCGGGATTTTAATCCCGATCCCGCTCCCGAAATTCTGCCAATCCCGGATCCCGAAAAGAATCAGTTTTCACCTTAAAAAGAATGCAGCCGCTGCACGAGTCTTGTTTACACTGTTTATTGTGCTGCGTGACATAAAGCAGATAAACTATTTAGCTGGCACCCCGTATTGGCCGTCCACAATCGACCGTGTTGGTAGCTCTCGGGTATCACCCACAGCGGTTAAGCCGCTTAAATACGTACGAAAAAAGGTCCCGAAAGTCAAAAAAATGCAGCATCAGCGCTGCAACATCTTTATCAGGATCACAGATCGTTCAGCGATTCTGACTTGCCCGTCCGTGGCCGGAACAAAGGAGGTCATCAAGACAGTCTTTGAGCTCGTGTCGCAGAAAGATGTCACAGATGTCACGCAAGTGACGGCAGAGGTCACTGATTCAGACGTTGAAGACGGTAGAGTGGAGCTCTCCCAGTCAGTGACTCTGCTCTCAAAGCGGCTTTCGAGCAAATTCTGAGAGACATTAAAGGGACCCTCCCACCTTAACATTAGATTTGAGTTGAGATAGCCAAAATGGGGTCCCTGGCTCACAATTACCGGTTTCGGCACTCACAACATCGAGAAATGCCTTAAATCGGAAATATTGAATTTCAAAATTGCAGCATTTTGATTCAGAGGGGCTAATGCATAGGAATACCCCTCTGAATGTGTGACGTCAGCGCAGATATCTAACGTTTTTTAAATGTTTGACTAAAACGTTTTGTAGCACGCAGTGGTATATGCTGCTTTGCGCGCAACAAGTGCCGCACTTTCAGCTGACAAACTATTGCTTCCAAATAAAGTCGCTAGGAACAGCGGAGATCCCAAAAAGTAAACAAAAGTAAAAGTCTAATATCTTGAAAACCGGTGAATGTTTTTCGGTGCAATTTGGTAGATATTCGTTTTCGCTCTTTCTGAACAGAGCGACATCACTTTCATGCCAATTCATAAACTTTTTTGAAGGTGGGAGGGTCCCTTTAATGATGAAAGCGGAACCGGAAGGAGGTAAAGTGACCACGCGACGTTTTGAAAACACTGTGAAATAGGGAGCTGCCAAAGTTGGCGTACACTGGTTGCGAGTTTTTAAGTAGACCAACATGGCAATGGCTTAAAACTGTCGCGCTAACTACGAGTAGCGTAGACGAAGAGTGAGTGAGGCGTGGATGTGCTGGAACCTGTCTAGTAAACGATCAGGTCGACGCACAGTTTTATGAAGGCCAATTGGGAATAAATGCTAATGCTAATCAAATCGAAACGTTTTATTCGCAAATTCAATCGTTTTTAATGCAAATGACATGGTCTAAGGATGGCTTTTGGTTGCCTCTTTGTTTGTGGTAAGCTTAAAGACACAAAATATGTCAGTAGGAAATCACTCTTACGACATTTAGTGACAAGGCCGGGATCCCGGGATCCCGGGATCCCGAAATAAAAACTTTCGGGATCCCGGGATTGGCAAAACGTTCCGGGATTGCAATCTCTAGTTCCACCGGTGACAGCGACGGCTGTGTCCTCTATGAGTTATAATGATTGGCTGGGGTGAAATGACTTGGTGTAGATGGCAACTTTCGGTTTTGAAGAAGGTGATGGCCCAGGGCCTCCATGTGTATCGTGGTTTGTTGTCGTTTTAATCATGGTGGTTGAAAATAATGGCACAATGGTTAGTTAGGTTTCCAATGAGTTATGGTTCATCAGGTACCGAATGTTGGGGGGGGGGGGCGAGCTTTGAGTTTTGACTGATCTTTTGGGAAGCGATCGTGAGCCGGGATAGTTAATATTTAATAACTAAAGTGCTCTATCACTATAAATGCCTGCTTAGTGCTTACCCACTTGCATGCCTATACTTCGTTAATCAATGCTTGATTGCAATGCTCAATAAATTAGCCGACAGTTTTGTGAGGAGTCAAATGACAGTAAGTTCCAAGGACTTTGTAAACATCATATGAGTGACATACAAATAATGAAGGACCATGACCAAACTGGAACCGCGGCCAATGTCCCCTTTTTTGGTTCCCATCCTAGTCAGGACTAAGAGGGCACAAACATTGTATCTTCTAGTTAAGCAGTTTCTTATGAAAATAAAGTTTTACTTTACATTATTTTTAAGTCCTGAAGATAAGTAATATGTGTTCCCAAAATACAAACACAATACAGTAAATGCACAAAACGGTGACACAGCCAATTATGTGACAAAGCCAATTAGTTAGATGTAGAACAGCAATTTGAAGGAACATACAAAAAGGGATTCTTGAATATGTATGTCAAAGCTGTATTAAACGACACATGAACTTTGTTTCTATATGATAAGGATCATAGCGGCATATTTCTATGTCGTTAAAGATCAAAGTGGTACGCATTCGACACGGTGCGCCCATTTGGCTCCCTTACGTGACTTGCTACAAATGCAAAACGTAATGCTTCCCACTTTATTCATGTTGCATAATGCCACTGTGTTACATGATTTCCGGCTTTTTTTAAAGTTTTTAGGGAAAGTAGGCCATACCATAGCTGATCATTGACGTAGTAAATATTTCTTCTTTTTCAACATATCCGATTCGAGTTATCAATACCAGGGGAATAAAGAGCAGTGCCCACACAAAACGCCCCTAAGATATGTTGGATCAGAGACATGACAGAGAAGCACGAAAAAATCCGTTATTTAGGATATTATGTACAGAAATGTAAGCTGCTAGCCTTATAACAGTCTTCAGCCAGCCAATGGTCCTTTGGCCATTTTCGCATGATTCGTTTCAACAGCGTAGTTACATTTATTTACATTGCTTCGTTATTATTTGTGAAAGTATTTACCAGCGGAAAATCCTTTACCGCTGCAGCTGAAGTGACACTGACATGCTCTGTGGTAGCGACCGCACTCTTATGCAATAGCAGTTAACCTTGCAACGTCCTTATCGGAGTTTGAATGGAGGATTCCATGGCACTTTTGCGATCGTCAAAAATGCGCATTTCCTGCAGACACGATAAATGTCTACCGTGACCAAAAATGGTAGGAATACAGGGAAAATCTGCCGACGTTTATCATTCTGATATGATGTTCATGCTACACACATGCACAACATGGACATAGTTAGGGCAGGATCGTCCCTCAGGGAACGCCTCCTTGCATTTTGATCAGGTAATATGCCGCTGCATGCTCAGACAGCCCGCTTCATTTCGCCGCAGTGTCCATGAAGTCTGAGGGACACTGCGGTCGCCAGGCGCCGTGCTGGCAGTGGGCCAAGTCCACTGAGCAGCCGCCTGGCCAGGCCGGTTATTCACATTCCACGGGGGTCGGATATGTTCTGCATCCGAGGAAAAAGGGCGAATCGTACAGGTTTTTATGTCGTTTGATAACTCGTGATTTTTTTTTTCTGGCGATGTTGAAGACTGTCAGGTTTGCACATTGGTTGTACACTCAGGCAACGGGAAAGGATATATTATGTAGTCTGTGCCTTTATCGTAATGCCTAACTGAAAGGTTATATCATAGAAGCATCCTGCCACTGTTACACATGCATCCCATCGAAACCATTTTTGATAGTTTGTTGATTTATGGGGCAGAGAGGAAGCTTTTCTGCTGGCGGTACCTATTTGTCTGCATACATTTCATTTTTACTTGGGTGGATCACCGAGTTCCTAAGACCTCGTACGTGCCACATTGACTTGCATAACCAAATCTTGTTTACTCCTCATGCACATTCATATTAGAATTTAGATATGCTGAATGTTAGCTTAAATCCAGACTGGAGCCGTGGCCCGTGGTGATCGTCACCAAATTGATTTCTCCGTGTGTTTAAAGTTCATCGACGACTAAATATTATCCCTATCAAAGCAGTCAATGCCATTTCATGCTTGCCTCGGCTAAAATATCTCGTTACATGTGATAATCGTGACATTTCTGAGGGACTGAAAATGGAATAACCATGAATAACTTAAAAATTCGTTGAAAGCTCGTTCATGTCTTACCTGTCGATTAATCAATATTCAATAAAGCTCGTTGGAGACTGGGTGACCTTCGATTTAATCACGTTATAAGTATCGTGACACATTTCATCGCTGCTGTAGTTAGACAGCAGCCATGGAACTGTAGATGGTGAGATATACCCGCCCGCAAAGCACGGATGTACTGCGGTACAGTCTAACGGCCAGGCATCGACGCTTACAACGGGCGGCGATTAGGGGTATATCACAGTGTATATATGGGCTCCCGAAAAATGTCTAATTAGAGAAGAGAAGACACAAAAAGATACCGAATAGGTATCGGTAAGTGGGCCCACAATGTAACAGTTATGTAGGTGCGGCACCGCTCCAAATTTGCAAGGATCCAATTACGTTCTGACTATTTTCCTTGATCGAACCAACAGTTGTTAGCTTTCCAATTCTGTAGGAATTATTAGATGATGTCACCCCCATTATATTTGCATTCTCTGCAAGTTGCTGGTCTCCAGCTATGGTTGCCTCGTCCTTTGCTGCCTACACGGCTGTTTTTGGCGCTGTTGCAATTTTTCTGCACCTATGTGCAGTGTTGTTCGTCTGTTTCCGAGCTCACAGCAGCGTGCCTGTTCAAGGTGGGGTGCCTGGCCAGTGGGTACCAACGTATGCACATACATTTGCGCTGTTCCTTTGGTAAAATGTGCATTGGGAACATCGCGGCTGGCGGTGGCCTCTTTGTTTGAAGCTGGTCACCAGGCTAGGCCTATATACCGGGTGACTTTCGCGGTTTAGTGAACTGAAAACAGCCTGCAGACTTCCTATAGGAGCAGAAAACGAAAACATCGGAAAAGAATCCAACCAAAACATGACTTAGTCCTGGTTGAGTTATTTTATTATCTTACTTTCTGAACGAAGTTCCGAACGCCGTATCATTAAATTCTGAAGTATACATTGATCACAGATCATCCCTATATACGCTGACAAGTGGGTAAGCAAATAGTGGCAAACGGCATTAATCGCTTAAGTAACGAACAAACTTTGAGAACTGCTCAAACGCTTCATGCATTTTCCTGGAGTTAACTGAACTCGTTTCTCGAAGTTAAATTGACTGGCGCATGGTAGTTACAGGGAACTGACTTGAATTCGATATCGCATGGGGTAGCATATAGAGGAAGCCTGTCTCCCCTTCCTGGAAAGTAGGAGTCGGGTTAGTTAGGATCGGTTTATCTGCCAGACTTGCTGATTGGTGATATTTTTGGACTACGGATCATCTTCAGAATTTAATCCCGACTTCTGGGAAGGGGGAGTGGGGAGTCCGGACAAAATGGAAGTTCAATCTATGCTGGGTGGCTGGTACGCTGCAATGTTTTTGTTAACTCCAGTTAGAAATAAAAATAAGACGGTGGAATATTTTCTTAAAAAGATGAAATATTGGAAATACGTTGTGCCCTTGCGCTCCTTCGCGTGTTACCTTTTTAGGGGAGAGTGGTGCAGGAGGCCCCCCCTTAAGCTCAGTTGCTATTTTTAGACAACTGATAATATTTAAGAGCTAACGTGTGCATGCGCTGTGAGCATGCATCATTTTTTTTTTTTTTTTTTATTCGTCAACCTTCCAACGGGCCGGTATGCCCATTTACAGGAAGGTACCCCTCCCCCCTGGGCTACGGCTAATGTGGGAGCCCACCCCACTCCTGGTGACACAGCTGGGGACGACATTTTCCCATACATATTTGCATTCAAAATGAATCTAGGGGGTACACAAACCGTAAACTTTAACATTTTGGAAAAAGTTGCAAAAGGGCCTCTTACACTATGGGTATGGTAAGACGCCCCCCCCCCCTCGGGCGTTTTAAAAGTCAAGTCGACTTGTAAAAGACTTTTTTTCGAACACAGCTGCAAGGCCTTTTATTTCGAAAAGCTAAGCAAATATAGTGTTACCGAAATCAAAAACACTTCCAAAGCGCTCGAACAATGCGAAAACTAGCACAACCAAACGCTGATGACCAACGAAAATTGTACCTATTATCTCTAAGAAAAGAAACAGAAAAAAGAAACAAAAACAAACTCCTTGAAAAAAGAATGCCACGCCTGCCGCAGGTGCAGGCGTTTTAGCATCAGGGGCGTTTTTTTATCGGGGGGCGTTTTATCATCCTCGAAGGGAGGGCCTCTTAAAAAAATACAGTGTTTTAACGTCCACAATATTTATGGTTTATGAGACATTTGCAGCGCACCAGAACATGGTCTATTCTGAAGCTAACATGTGACAATTTCGATGAGAAAAGATTGCATTTGATAGCCATTGTTTTTTCAGATATATAAGGGTGATAAAGATGCATATATCTAGCAAGTAAAGGGGCAAAAACAGAAACAGGCTTACCAAAAGTCGCTGCGACGCACCTGATACCTCAGGTTTCGTGAGTTGTTGTTTCAAGAGGGCTTCTGCTTTACAAGAACATTAAAAAATAAATAACATTATTGGTTTGGTAAAAAAAGCGATGAGGCCTCTTACCGACCCTGGGCGTCTTACACGGATCTCCCCTACTTTCATATAGAAGTTTTGAATTTTAAGAGCTTGATTAAAAAAAAAAAAACTGAGTTGCGCAACGCGCCTAGATATCGACAATAACAGGATCTTCAAAGGCCCCAGCCTCTCCGGGATAACTCTCCTAAAGACCCTCCCATGGATTTCCTTGCCAAGGCGTAGCACCAAGCTTCATCACTGGCTGAGCCCTGAGACCATGGCGCCTAGCCGCATGGCCGGTGCCGATACGCCTTATCAGGACCTTCCCATAAGACAGACCGGTGGATTGTCTGCAGACTGCAGTCCCCAGCGCAGCCGGTGAATTATTGTCATTAATCAACTTAAAAGTAGTGCCATCTGCGGTCATTGATTTTGCCAAAAGTATGGTTATCGATCGCTACATGTCTGGATAGATTGTTATGTTTTATTGGCTGGATACGGATAGGAATAAAAATGTTATACCTAATTGTAGATAGTTGTAGGTAAACCTGGTAGGTTAAATTGACCTATTCAACATCAATTTTTATCCGTCATAACAGGTGTGCTGCTGATGCATGGGTGTATTATGGAGTGGACGTTTGCCATTTAAACCTGTTCCTCGATGGTGTCCACATCAGTATCTATTGTCCTGTCTGTACCCATCCTGAACCGGTAGTAAACGTGCCGAGATGGCAGTGGCATGTATCAATAGAGTTCCATTGTCAGTGCTGAGTCGTTTCCGTCAGCGCTGACCTGTACAGTCGGATGCTGAGTCTGCACTGCGCAGCGTATTGGATCTCACTGTAGCATCGTCGTGGCCATTCAACCGCAGCTAGGGCCTCCAGTGCTAGTGATGCAAGTTCAGTCAAGAACCCATGCTGCTACTGCGCTACTTGGGAGACATAATTTCGGTCATCCACATTGCCGTCCCGTGGGTACAAGTTCCGCAACCTTGTGTAACTTGCTGGCTTATTTCCAAAGGATTCATTGTTCGTTTGACCATTCAGCTATCTCAATGCGTTTTGCAAAGCTACCGTCCCGATGGAACCTCGCCATATTGTGTCATATCCGCATAACCTAGCATCACTCACGGGGAGATTATAGCTCCGCAGTATTGGTAAAACCAGGCCCCTCAGTATTGCATCATAGTTGAGTTCCTTCTGCCCTCACTGGTTGCCAAGTATCGTACTACGCCACATCCCCATTGACCCGAAATAAGGATTTCACTCTGGTCTCGATCATCTCCCTTTCTTTTCTCTCCCTCACTCTTCCTATCTTTCTTTCTTTTTCCTCTCTCTCTCTCTCTCTCTCTCTCTCTCTCTCTCTCTCTCTCTCTCTCTCTCTCTCTCTCTCTTTCTCATTCCCCCTCTATTTTCAATTCCTCTTCCCCTTTCTCCTCTCTCCATCTTCTCTCTCTCTCTCCATCATCTTCTCTCTCTCTCTCTCTCTCTCTCTCTCTCTCTCTCTCTCTCTCTCTCTCTCTCTCTCTCCCGTCCCTCTCTCTCACACACTCCCCTCTCTCCCCAGGTACAACACGGTCCCTCTGGACCCCGAGGCACCTCCCGACTCTCGGCCTCCGACCACCACCAGAGTTGTGGGGGTGTTCGTGAACGCCGTGTCCCGGCTGGTGTCGTTCATCGCCACACTGCCCCAGTTCCGACAACTGCCGCAGAACGACCAGAAGATACTGCTGAAAAACGGTACGGTGATTACTAGGATTACAATTATAGAGGACGGTACGACACGGCATGTTTACCTATACCTTTCGGAACTTACAGTACGGAACTCATTCGCGGAAATGCGCCCTTCTCCTGAAACCCGGCTTGCATTTGCTTCTGAAAGACGATATGGCACCTATCAAAGACGGTTTGTCATATAACCGGAAAGTCCATGGGTGTAGGAGCGCCAAAAATATTGGTGAAGGATGTCACCTGAACCTTCGGAGAGGGTGCAGGACCTTACCGCAGTGGAGGGGGGGGGGGGGGAATTTCGCCAACTCCTGTTTTTTTTTTCTCGCAAATGTCTCACGCCATTATCATCTAATTAACGTCAACTTTTAAGTACATGCCTAAAATTGAATTTTTAGGTATCCAAGCATACCTTTGGATACCTACCAAAGGTATCCACCATCCAAGCATACCTTTGGAACCTAAAGGTATGCTCCACTGCATTTTTTTCGTGACCAAAGTCTTACAACTTTCCCACGAGTAAAAACAAGCCAATTTATTTCGATATTCACGGCATTTACTGAGACACATTTACACGTTTACCAACTTCAATACAGTTTTCGGCTTTACTGTATGCCTGGCCTATTCAAATAGGTACATTAGCCTGAGGGGTGTGGTAATAACTGGTGTAAGCAAAGTGACCACGGTCAAAAATGCATTACCAAGTCAACATTTTGGGATGGCCTCGTTCAAAAAACCGCTAAGAGCTTCGGTCTAGACAATTGTTTTATCGTTGGCATACAGTAAAATACATACCAAACTCGGCCGGTGATAAATTGTCAAGACCTCAGTCCATTAGCGTCGCCACGGGGGGGGGGGCAAGCGGGGCAGCTTGCCCCCCCCCCCAACCTCGGACCGGGCACCCCTTGAGATCGATACAGATCCGATGAGATTTTGGAGTCGGGAAAAAATGGGGGTACCTTTCTGAGAATGCCTGTGAGGTCAGACTCGGTTGGAGCGTGCAGTTAAAACCAGAGTCTGACTCGCAGTCGCCAAAATCTTCAAGACTCCGAGTCCAGACTCGGAAATGTCAATGCTGTGATTCATTCCATGTTCCTAGTTCGTTCTTTATTACATTTTACAGCTGATTTTAATAAGTTTTGGAGTGCTGACACCATAGGCGGCGGAACGGGGAAGGCACCGTGCCCCCCTTTGATTTTGGCATTTTACCATTAGCCCTATGGGCGTTGCATGGAAAGAATGGGACCAAAAGTCGGCAGTGTCCCCCCCCCCTCTTAATTGAAGGTGTTCCGCCGCTACTGGCTGACACAATTTTCGTTCAAAGCGTGAAACGAAATCTTCGGGGCCTTTCTCAACTCTCGTCAAATGTCTGCGACAGGCTCAAGTACCGTACAAGTGTCGCAGGGCTCATGAGCTTGCTTTAAACAAAGGCTCCTCAAAGGAGCTCCACTGAGCCCTAAAGAAGCATTTAGAGAGCCCAAACCGGCCTCTGAAAGTCCCACTGATGTCCATCTTCTCTGAGGGCCCATACAGGGATATTTGAGCCTTCGAACATTTCTGAAAACCTTAACTGGCCTCTGATAGTTCAGCAAAACTTTTGAGGCGACAGACTTTGCTAACCCCAAGCCGGCATCTGAGGGGTCACAGCTCACGTGTCCCTCTGAGGTTCGCAACACATGTTTATTATGTCCCTACGTAGGGTCCTTAGGGATTCGACACAGACCCCGAGGGTTCACGCTGTTATCCGAGGGCTCCAGGCTCACCCTGGGCCTAGTCTCTTAGCACCCGCCGCCCACACTGGCTTCTGAGGGCCCCACCTTGAGCTCCGAAAGCCCTAAAGCACCACGTACACGTAAATATTTGAGGTGACCCACGCCGATCTCCGGGATCCTAAGCATGCTTCTGAGAGTCAGCACTGACCCTGAGTGGCCTGAAATGGCATGGAAGTCCCAAACCTATATCTAAGGGATCCCTTGCCTCTATGCCGTGCGTAACTTTTGGTTCCGTTTAACAGTTTTTGTTCGCGTTTGCAGCGCTTCCATTCACAAGAAAAACGAGAAACTTTTGTTCACACTCGAGTGAACAAAACACTTCCTCTCACTGGAGCAAAGATGAATTACTTCCGATTCACACTTCCGACATTCACTCTCCGCCGAATGCCCAACTTAGCTACGATCGGCGGCTGGGATAAGTCCTATGCATTTCACGTAAAACCTCTGCATGCATGCGTGAATGGAGGTTTTAGCAGGGCCTAATCCGATTAAATGGAGCTTTTTCACCTTTTTCTGGGTAATGATCATGAGCGTCCAGCGTCTGCGCAGGGGCCCTCTGCAGTGCGTCGGCAATCGCAGCCACTATATACTACAATTCTACCAGTCGTTTTTGTCATGAAATTTCAAAATTTCGAATTTTTCTGTAAAAAAATACATGTCATAGCTAGAAGGAAACCTTTGTCACCATCGGATTCCTCGCACCATTGCGCGTCGAATGATATGTAAAACAAGTGAGTAAAGACTGGGGAAAGGCAAGTTTTAACACAAAAGTTGATTTTGCCCCCCCCCCCCCAACCGAAAATCTCTGGCGACGCCTATGCCTCAGTCCTTGCTGATTTTGGAACTCGGCCTTCGGCCTCGTTCAAAAATTTAGTTAGGACATCGGTCTTGAAAATTTATTTACACCGGCCTCGTTCAGTATTATATATTACCTATCATTTATTAACCCGGCAGTTGCTGAGGTATTTCGCCACCCACCGTTTGCTGGGGGGGGGGGGGGGTTAAACGCCCCTAGCCGATAACTCGAGAACCAATAGGCGCAGCGAAACGCACGAGGCGGCAAACGAAAGAACGCGACGAGACGCTTCAGATGAGTACTTTTAAGTTGAATTTTGAGGTCACAGGTCGGGTCAAGGTCAGGTCAAACACCTGAAATCGGGCTTTCAGCAGCATGGACTTCAGGACTTCGCAATGGGCGCCTCTCGTCATAAACTCTGTCAAAACGGTGCACAATCCATCATATAAGGCCTACAAGAGTGTCAGCTCCATGTAGGGGTCAGTCAAGCATAGGTCAGGGTCAAGGTCAGGTCAACCGGGTAGGCACATATCCCCGAAAATCGAAACTGATACTTGCAGCCTCTGACACATGTTTTATGGGTAATTTGGGGCGTAGAACACGATGGTGACATTCATTTTATCATATGTGTACGCGTTTGGCTCAAAAAGTTAAATTTAAGAAATGCATGTATCATGGTCGTGAGGTAGTCACGAGAAATTGCCAAGATTCATTTCAAGATTTTGGAAAATGCGGAGCGATAATCAATAATCGAAGATAGCCATTTGATTTTTCATGGTATTGGCAGTTTAATGGCGTTTACAGCATGTCTGAATGTCTATTCTGTGATTTTATATGATTTTTTGAACATATGCCGTTTTTGGTCGAAAACTCAGAAATCATTACGTCACTAAAACCTCGATATCTCAAAAAAAATTTCCGACCGATGTTTTTGAAACTTTGTCACAATAAACTTCAATCAATCCCCTACAGGTACCCAAAATTTGGCGCGCCTGCGGCGCGCTGTTTTTATGCTATGGCCCGGCGAAAAAAGTGGGGGGCGTTTAACGCCCCCCCCCAGCAACTCGCGGGTTAAATGGCGTGAATTGTGAAGAAGGTGGGCATAACGCTTCATAACTGAAAGGATGGGGTAATTGGGTACCTGTTGCCGTTTTAGCCTTTTTGTTCATCCCATTCGGCATTGCTTTTCTTTTTTTTAACATTAGATCGACTGTCGAACCCAATCGTTCCAGCATTGGTGAAGACCCTCACCTGCATTGCTCAAGATTGGTGAAGGATCGTTCACCAATCTAAAACTTTGGTGAAAGGTATCCTTCACCAAAGAGATACGTTGCTACACCTATGCCGGAAACTGTACAATGTACAGCACGTTTACATCTAAAAAAGTTAAAGGCGTTACTCATAGAAAACGATGCGTCACTCCTCAAAGAGGTTACGATACAAATGCAATCTCGATACATCTCTGTTCCAAAGAAGACGCTGAGGCTCTTCACGGAAACGGAAAAAAACCTGTGTCTAGTGTCCAGCGAACGAGTCGGTTGTGCCTTTCTGAACGAGGCTTTCTTTCCGATGAGTAAACTGCGTCACTGCTTGCAAACAAAACCGCAAGAACTGATAACGTCCTACGGTACAACAATTAAATGTGCCCTTGCTTTGTGTGGCTCTCAGTCTCGACATCCAATTGCAATGGCGTTGCTACTTGCTACAGAATGACGTTTTAATTTTAAAGCCAGCTGTTTCCGGTTGGATGTCGGGAAAAGGTCACGTCTGGGCAATATTCTAAATTCTGCCCTAAATTTATGCACACTTGCTGTGATGAATGCAAACGAGACTGAAGCAGCTCTGGGAATTCTATAACGCTTTTAAAGAAAATATTAGACGATCATTAAAAGGAAGCACATTTTCCACAGCCAAGCGCCTCCCCCATTTTCCGCGCTCGATCCGCCTCTAGCGGCCGCGCGGCCCTGACCTCGACCTGTGTGCCCCGCGGGCAGGCGTGCTGGCGGTGCTGATTCTGCGCGGCACCATGGTGTACGACGCCAACAGCACGCTTTTCAACGCGCAGGCGGTGGGCGCCAAAGTCGGCATGAGCGACCTGAGGTCGGTGATGACGCCCAAGCTGATGAAGAACCACCAGCAGTTCGTCGAGGTAAGTGTGGGTCTGAAGATGTTTGACGTGCTGTCGAGTTGGACTGGCCAGTGGGCTAATCGAAGAGTTTGAGTTCAGTAGGAGTTTTCCAGTTAAGAGAGTAAGGCTTTTATTAAGATGAGAAATAGATAAATTAAACGTTTAAAACATTCTTCGACCACAAAATATATAAATGCAGTCGTCGATTTCTTTTGAAAAGTATTCTTTCATTGGCGAAAACCTGATATTTTATAGGATTCAACCCAACCCTTTCCCTGACCAAATTAAATGTCGAGTTAGCGTTACGGCTGTTCCGTTTGCTGCCTTTCCTGTCGAAATAGCCAGATCTCCCCGCGAGTTTCTCAGATTTAAAGGCGTTTTGTATGGAAATGAATGAGTTACCTGACTCCTGAGTCACTTCCAGTTAAATGAAAGCCGATTTATTCACATGAACGCGGCTACGTGGACATGATTGCCAACTTACGTAACACGACAGATCGGAGCTTAAGTTCAATTGTGAAGACGGTCCGTTGTCGTGGCCTTTATCCTTTGAAAGAGTGTTTCATGAGAGACACACCATCTCCCAGACCTCATAATTCTAGCCGCCTACGGGTAACAGGATGATATCGTATGGACGGGAAAGCTCATCTATCGAGGGTTCTGGAGTGGATATCTATTACAAACGTTCATTCTGAACTCAACTGAGAGGCATACGAGCCAGGCGGCCCCAAGACCCTCCTCAATGTTTATTTTATTTTGGTGCAACTATAAACCAGTTTTTCTGTGGTGTTTATTGATGCTTTAGCACTGAGTAGCAACTACAAAAAATGTTGCTGCAGCCTGCATCCCTTCCTGCATCTCGCATAGAAACAGTTATTTCCCTCATCTCTGGTACATTTTATTGACGGCAAGATGGTAGGCATAACTTACATACATACGTAGCCATATGCAATATTTCCCGGATGCAATTTAGAAGCGCGCATGCAACTTCCCTTTAAAAAGTAATTGAAACCCCCCGAAGTTAACCTAGCGCGGCGGCTGGTGCTGCGCACATGAGCCGGTTTGTGCAGTGTAAACATGCCGTGCAGAGGTTGCATAACCGCCCATGTGCCCCCGGCCTTGGAGGGCACGTCGCGGAGCTCGCGCCGCCCACGGAGTAAACACCGCCGTGCCGGTCACCCGCTGGCTCGGATAGAAGCTTTTACATTCACCAGTCAATTAGCGACCAAACGTGGGGTTTGGATAAGTTGTCATACATACAGGCATACGGCATTATAACGATTCACTCACTGACAATTCACGAGTGACGAATGCGATCTACGTTTAAAGCATTTGGTTGACTCGGAGGTGCTATGATGAACAGTTAAAACAGTTTGGCTTTTACGATAGCAAATGCAATCTCGTCACGCTTACGCGTCGAGAAACCTACAGCTTCGCATGCTACAGGTTTCTTGCTTTCAATGGTCGTCTTGGTTTGATTTACGTGCGGAAAATCGGCGCGCCCTTTTTGCGTCTCGGAATTGAAAAGCTCCGGTCTGCACTTGATCCATATGATGTGGGAAATGCATAACCAACTACTCAAACAACTGTTCGAACAGCTACCATGTCCCAGCGGCTGATGTTGCGTCGTTCCATAAATGACGTAGGTCTGATCCGCCATTCACGGTGCGACCTCGTGCAGCGCTAACCGGGTACATTGCGCGCACTGGGCCGTCTATCTAACCCGGCTGGTGTTAGGTTGCAGTGCACCCACTCTGACCGTGTCGATCCAGCTGGGTTAGTGTATGTGTGCCCCCTGACCTGTCCCGGTCGATCCGGCTGGGTTAGTATATGTGTGCCCCCTGACCTGTCCCGGTCGATCCGGCTGGGTTAGTGTATGTGTGCCCCCTGACCTGTCCCGGTCGATCCGGCTGGGTTAGTGTATGTGTGCACCCTGACCCGTCCCGGTCGATCCAGCTGGGTAAGGGTTAGTGTATGTGTGCACCTTGACCCTGGCCGTGCCGATCCGGCCCGGTCAGTGTATATGTGCCCCCTAACCCCCCTTCCCGTTCCCCCCTACAGCGGATGCAGAGCCTGGGTCTGGACAAGACTACCAACATGCTCCTTCAGATGGTGGTCATGTTCTCCTCAGACCTGGCTGGCCTCTCCGACTCGGAGACCATCAGCACCCTGCAGGTTCGGTCCACAGGGGGAAAGGGAAACAGGGCAAGGGTGATTGGGACCGGCGGCACGTGACTCTGCACTCAGCAGGTTCGTCCAATATGGAGAAAAGGGAACTTTCTGGAGAGGGGAATGGGGACTGACTTCACATACTTGGAGACCATCCGCACACTGCATGTTCGGTCCACAGGAGATATAGGGAGGCCTTTCTTCCTAAGACATGAGACATGAGACATGAGCCTTACGGACTTTGAGGCCAGCGGTGCCCTGCAGGTTCGTACAATATGGAGAGGGGAGTGGGTAGGATGGTGATAGGAACCGGTTTCACAGCACTCTGCGGGTTTAGTTCATGGCTAGGGAGAGGCCGGTTTTCTTCCTTGAGACGTGGGTTGGGGCCTCACGGACTCAAATGCCATTAGTACTCAGTAGGTACTGTGCAAGTTCCTTCATCTGGGGGGGGGGGGGGGGGGAAGGGGATGGGGCAGGGGTTACGAAGACTGGCCTGGGCAGGTTTCACTGGACCTTGTTTGGTTTAGTCATTCTTGGAGCAAGACTGTTTGGCGGTTATCTTGATGCTGATTAATCCAATGATGGCCGTATTCAACAACATCGTAGTTGTCAAGGGATGTCGAGCATCTGGGATTTTAGTATTCAGTCATAGGATTCTACAGTAAATCAATTTGACATTCATCGGCATACATTTGCTGGATGCTACCCGTTCGTTGCAGTAGAGGATTTCGCTTATCATGCAGGGAGCGCAAATCCTATTCGTGCAGAACCTTCAGATATGTTTAAATCATTCCGTACTTGCATGGACCTTGTTTGACTACATTATGCTCATCGTGCATCCTCCGGCAGTCAATGCAAAGCCAATTTGCAATGGTGGACCCAGGCACATTGTGCAGATCGGAATGATTTCTCGCTATGTTAGGACAGCCACCCCAGACGCGACACTGCAGCAGACACTACGTCCTCGTCCGTCTGGTCCGTTGTAGGACCATAACACATGTCTGATCCATCCATCCCTGTTGCAAAACCACTACACAGTACACATGCCTAATCCATCCGTCCTATTTGCAGGACCACAACACGTGTCTTACCCATCCTTTCAAAATCCAGGACCACTACATCAATCTGATCCATCAGTCCCATTTGCAGGACAATCGTCTGATCCATCCGTCGCAATGGCAAGACTATCTGTAAGAATCTTGGGCAAGACCACGTCTACACATGTCTGACCTCCCGTCCCGATTTCAGGACCACTACACATGTCTGATCCGGCGCTACATGTGCTCCATCCACGGCGAGGAGAGCACCCGGGTGCTCTACCCGCGAATGCTCCACCTGCTGGCAGACCTCAGAACGCTGGTGGAGGACCACAACATGAACACGTAAGACAGAAACGTCCCTAGCACGGGAAGCCTCAGGAAACGCTCCTGGACCCAGTTAGAAGCTCTGGTCCTAGTTCTAGTTCCTGCGCCTCAGTCTATTTCTCCTTCTTCATTGTTTCCTATGTTGCGAATGGCCGTTTCACTTGGTTTAGAACATCTCCCACATGTGCGAAAGGCCTCGTCGGCATGCATCATCTCTTTGTAGCGTTTCATCTTGAACCATGTTCCTTTGCTGAAGTCGGAGGGGTTCTTTGTCTCGTCCTATAACCCGTTCGCCCTACTCCAGGGTGTGTTTCCCCGACTCAGACTTGGCCAACGTAGCGGGCGAGTTTAGCAAGATCGACCTGAACCCGTACCCCATGTGGCCGGACTTCTGCGAGAAGGGCCAGGAGCACCTACATCCCAGGCACCACCAGCATCAGCAGCAGCAGCTTCAGCAGGGACAGCAGAGGCAGGCGCCAGGCTCCTGGAGGTAAGCGAACGGGAAGATGCGAAGGAGGTTTCGTGAATGCCTGCCCGACGGTGGTTCTAAGCTCTTGCTGTTCGGGTTAAGGGTGTCAGGGATGCATATGACTGCCACGGATCATTGGATGCAATCATCGTCCTACAAACATTAAAATGTTTATAATGGAAGGTCTGTGTTTATAGTGAGGCATGCCGAACTTGTCAGGCTGCATCTGGCCCAAACTTGTTACTGTTTTGCCTTCAAGCGGACTTTTGCATAGGGAGGACTGGGCTCTGAGATCTGACCGTCTGATTCCGCTGTTCCAGACGGGCCAGTCTGCCAGAGCCTGCGGCCACGTCCTCCGTTGGCTGTACGCCGCGGACGGCGCCTCCCTGGCCAGCCCACGGTCAGCCATCCGGCGCCGGGCCCGTCTTTCCAATGGGAACCAGCCCGCAGTGCCCCCCGACCGGCGGAGTCAGTCCCCAGACACCCTCGGGCTACCGCGGCGCGGCCGGCCCTCAGTGCATGCGTACCTCGCAGCCCTCTGGCGGCCAGTACGGCGGCTCGGCCGGCGCTCAGTGCATCCGCAACTCTCCGCCGGCGGGCGCTCAGTACAGCCCTGGCGCGATACCGGCGGGATTGGACTGCGGGGCACCGGCAGGCAGTCCTTCACCGGGATCGGTTCCCAGCCAATGGCCGCAATGGTAAGTAGGCAGACAGACACTGCCCTCTGAGGGCCACGAATGGTTATAGATGAGAAAGACGTTGACCTTTTCGATGACGCTCTCCCCAGCGACTCAGTCAGCTCACGTTTTGATGTTAGTCTCACACCGTTGCACACACGAGGGCACTCGGAAAACTTTGCCACGTAATTGGCGGCACTAGTCGTCGAGTGCCTAAAACTGCAGTTGAGACAGGAACTTGAGCTGATGAGTGCGACGGAAACCGCTTCCAGAAAGAATACCAAGAAGGCGGCAGAACTGATTGCCAGTTTTCTGATCATTTACCACCATACAAACTGTGTGCATGGCTTGTGTCCCTTTGGCACCGTTCCACATTTCTCCTTACCAATATATTGGGTTCTGACATTAGATTGAACATCCCGAATGACGATCACGTAAAGACCGAGACGTATGGCTGGTCACGGCCCGTGGATTTCGAGAGTAGAAGCGAGTTCGAGTCGTGAATAAGAAAAGTCGCTGCCGCTTCCAAAGCATAGCATGCATTTATCATGAAGGTTCGACTCCGAACTCATGACATTTGCTTTCACTACGCCAGTCGTCAATGGATGGACCATGAAGATGTCAGTAACATTGTATTTCATAAAACGGTTAGTGTAGCATATAACTGATAACCTTACCGTCCTAGCCTACTTATGACGTTGCTCATGTCCCACTGTTATTCGGCAAGTCTTCCCTGTTCCATCAGAGCCCACCTCTGCTCGTTTCACAGGGGTTCGGAGCCATACGGCGCTGCCGGCTACAGCGGTCCTTTTTTCGGTGATGGCCGCCAACCAGGGCCTCCTGGGACAGACTGTATGCGACTGCCATCTGACGGTGACCCGGCCAACTGCTCGGCGCCCGATGTCGACATCAGCGCGATCCTAGGTGAGCATCAAGCACGCTCCCCACCCCGGTCCTGAAAAGTGGCGTGAAATGCTATACCGTCCTTACATAACACGACGTTGATTGATAAAAACGGCTCTACCAGAAATCAAATAACACTTAACACTTAATAAAAGTTCCTTATCCAACACAGATACCGTCATTTCATACACTATCATGTGCACAGATGCACAACATTACATAAATGTGTTATTCTGTACACTTTCCCTTACACTTCATTTGGACGGTAGTTGACACCACCAAAAGAACATTTTTCACGCCACTTAAATGTTTGCTGTGACTTGTGAGCATGTTGGTTCTATTTAACCGATCCAGTATGTCTAATGTTGGTTCACTGTGTTTTTATTTGCTAATGGATGACCCTATGCTGACGCATCGTTATATGCGGTGTGATATGTTAAACCACTGTTTGGTAGGGCCCAAACATACCCTCGCAGTGGTGGGATTAGTCGTTAGAATCACGTCATCTTGACGTCAATAAGAATAAAACGAACTTTCCACTACTGCAGAAAACCTGAGCGGTCGGATCCTTGGTTGCCCCCCCCCCTCCCCACCAGTGCGAAGGTACTTAGTGAGGGCAATTGAAATGTCAATTATCGAGATGCATTTGAAGTCAATCCTGTCGGCCACCAGACGGCACCTTGACCCGTTCCTGCCATCTGGTTGGCTGTCCAGGTTCACGTGATCCGGTCCTGCCACCTGATTGGCTGTCCATAGTTCACGTGATCCGGTCCTGCCACTTTATTGGCTGTCTGTAGCCCACGTGACCTGGTACTGCCGTATGATTTGTCATCCGGAGCTCACGTTATCTGTTCCTGCCATCTGATTTGCCATCCGAGGCCCACGTGACTTGTTCCCGCCATCTCATTGGCTGTCCGCGCCCACGTGACCCGATCCTGCCATCCGATTAGCCGTCCGGAGCCGCCTTGTCATCTGATTGGTCTTGCCGTAGCCCACGTGATCGACCGCGGTCGAGTCGTCTGATTGGCGGCCGGGAGCCCACGTGACCGCGGTCGTCGATGTGTGATACAGATTGGCTGCTCGCAGAACTCGGGCCAAGCCTGCAGGCGATGGAACAGAAGATGCTGACCGACCCGGGCGAGTGGAGCCCGCCGCCGCAGACCGGAGCGGAGGGACTGCAACCGTTCCTGCCGCAGCAGCAGCAGCAGCAGCAGCAGCAGCTGAAACTACAGCAACAGCAACACCAGCAGGAGCAGATGAAACTCCAACAGCAGCAACAGATGAAACTCCAACAACAGCAGATGGAGCTGCAACAGCAGCAGCTGCAGCAACAACAGCTGCAGCAGCAGCAGCTGCAGCTGCCGCAGCAGCCGCCGCCGTTCCAGCCGGCGTTCCAGCCGCTGCCGGCTCCGGCGCTGCTTCAGCAGCCGCCGCATTACCGAACTTCCTGTGGCGGAGCTGTGTCGGGCGGTGTGTATCCGTGAGCGTTCTCGCCGCAGAGACAAACCACGAAGGGAACCAGTGCAAAGAGAACGCGCCGCGCGCTGTGAAGGTGTCTGTTTCGCCCACGGTGGACCCTAGGTCACCGAGTGGCGTTCGGGTTCGTTGAGAGCGTCGCAGTGAGCGACTCTGATGTCGGCGCGTGGCGTTGTCAAACCTGCCTGGCGGGTCGCCGGGTATATCTTCAATGTGATCGGCTTTCTATGCAGTGTTGTGATGAAGGGAGGCCGCAGCGGCGGGGAGTGGGCGACACTCTAAACCTGCCCGACGAGCAGGCGGTGCTACGGCACCGGAATGTGCTACTGTGATCGGCTTTGAGTGTTGGAGTGGAGGACTGTTGGAATTTGGGTGTGGTATGTTTGAATGTGGTACTTTGTTGGATTGTGGAAGTGTGTTGGAGTGTGGTATTTTGTTGGATGCTAGATTGTAGAAGTGTGTATTGGAATGCGGGAGTGTTGGATTGTGTGTGTGATTACTTACGAACCTGGATGTGCTAATATTATGTACACAGCGCTGCGCGGCGTCACGCTCGACGCTAAAGGGTACGGGACACTGCCGTTGTTAGTCAGTGGCCGGGCGAGCCGGGCCCCGCCCCGCCCCTAAACTCTTCTGCGCAGTGCCAGCCACTCGTGTACGGTGTGTTATTGTGGGCGGTGGGGAGGGGTCACGTCACAGTGCTGTATAGCCAGTCCTACGTGTTTCATCCGTCGGCTCCAAATCAAAATGGCCACTGCGGGGTCACGATGAGAAGCTATCGATGTACAATTCGCTCATTCGTCCAAAAACTAGATAAAACGGACGCGACTTTTTGCAACGAGACGAATAAGACGGAAAAGAACCGTTCAAATTATCACAGCTTTTACTAAATCTGTACATTTATCGCGCTCGTCTCCAAGCTGTATTCAATTTCTTACGGCTTGCAACAAGTCCTCAATCTCATAGCTTAGGACACCTGACACTTTTTGCGCCCCGGCATATCATCGTCTCTAGGTCTGTCCACAAAACGTTCGGCTTCACGGGTCCCCACTGACGCTCGTTCGGTTCAGTCATCCGGTCACATGGACCTGCTTCTCACGATGGCTCCCTTGTTTACCCCCACGAGTCTATGCATCACAACCCAGTCCCGCTTTCAAGCAGTGAAAATGTCCTCTATGCAAGCAGTCAACACATAAATGCCCTTTATGCATCCCGCTCTTTCAGGCAGTAGCGACGCCTTCCAGTTGTATAATTTGACATCCACACATTTCAAAGAGTGGCATTCAGCTTCAATGCATTCAGTCCTTAGAAACGTACACACATGTCGTCCACACATCCTGTCCTTTTCGGCATTGACATGTTCGCCTTGGCGGGTCAATTAATAATGGCATTGCTCTCTAATCTAATCCACTTTGCAACCAACAAAAGGCAGCAAGTCAGCTATGCAACCTTTCCTGAGCACTCCCTCGCTCCACAACCAATACAAGAAGACTGCCAATGGGTCTAGAATTATCGGTGTTCGGTACCCTGGGAAAGGGCGCCACTACAGACGCCGAATTCGGGACTAGCCTGAGACCGAGCTTGGGCATTGTTCGGGACGAAATCGATCGTACTGCTACCGTTCTGGAAAGTACTGGCACTTGCCGGACGTGCTCGGACGTTCTTGAGACGTGCTCCAGACATACCCGAGACGTACTTGGGCCGTGCTCGATATAAAGCAATTCGGTGTCACCTTTCGCTGCCGCCTCGACTATACGCCCAGCAGCAAGAGCATCTCTAAGAAGTATCTTTTATATGTCTGGGCGGATCCAGAGAATGCGCCTGTGGGCTCGATGCTGCTCTCTGGGTTTCGGACAATCAAATGATGCCAATCGGATCGCTAGAACTAAGTTAAAAAATGTCAAAGTTTGTATATTTCTCCATGCTACATCGAGTCTTGCTAACGATAAGACCAAGAAACATTATGCAAAATTCATGACAATGAGTCTTCACACATTTTTGGACACGAATCTAGCGCATTATTTAGAGACGTTTTCATATTTAGAAGGGCCTAGCCCACTCTGGATTCGTCACTACATCTACCATCGCCAAACTAACTGCGCCACTTCTGACGCTCAAATGGAAATCAAAACGGTCGTGTGCCCGCCCTCTGCTGCCCCGAGCGCCTAGCGCCTCCAGTGTGCGGGTACGGGTGTTCTGTGCAGCGGGTACAGAGTATAAGGTACCCAGCGAGCGATGTACTGCGCTCTGCTTGTGTGTACCGCTTGATGTGTTTTCGCGCTCAACAAAGAATACAGCGCTGGATATGTGACTATGTGAGTGTGGTTGAGGTGTTTGTGTCGATGGCTTGGAAGTGAAAGAGAGAAACGGAGGAATGGCACTCACAGAGAGACACAAAGACAGGCAAACTAGACGGATATAGGTCCAGAACTAGCGGGAAGGTTATGGGAGACGGGAGGAGACGGAAGCACCAGACTACTTCGTATTCGCAGGGAGCACAACGTCCATATCTTACACTTTGAGGGCTGAAGCTGATTAAAGAACTGAGTGGTCGTCTGTAACAATTTAATGTAATTATTATAGCTACCCGCTAGCGTCTGTCCGGAAGTTCACGGTCGGGTGGTATTACCTCACGGGTCACACCTGCGCAATAACTCAGTTTATGGCGCATTGCGGCATTTAAAACACCGTCTTACAAAGGTAAATGACCATTCGCACGTCATTCATTCAGACAGACATACATACATTCATTCATTCAGTTACACATTCAGTCATTCATTTGTACAGCCCACCGCTAAAGTAATGTAGGGTTTTACCAATCTCAACGGTTGGCTTTGACTGGCGATTGTTTAATGCGGAGTGATCGAAAATAAGATGTCAATAGCTTAAGTTGCAGCTGCAAGGGTGACGATACATATAAGCTACATTCAAAGTTTCATTGTAGTCTGGCTAATCGTTCCTACGCTTCAGAAGCAGAACGTACGTACCCATGACTGAAACCCCACATTACTTCTGCTGTGGACTGTACATTCATTCAGAGCTTGATCCACCCGCTCGCTCGTATTTAGTCCAAATATGCCTAGGTGGAATGACATTTGAGTCTGGCGTCACCCACGCAGAGGTCATTAGGTCAGCCTTGCGGAGTGGGGTCATAATAAGCACTTAGCACCTTTACCTCATGCCTCAGCCGTTTGGAGTCGGAATACCTTTATAAAATACCGGGAACGTAACCCACCGTGCCGCTCAGACGAGTACAAAGTTAGAACTTGACTAAAGGTCGGCAGGTTCGCGCGCGGTAGGCGTCCGGTCTGATGAAATTTAGGTGTTCTTTGATCCATTATTACCCAACACCGGACACGAGAGGGCGCTCCCTCGGCAGGGCTGTTCAATGTTCATGGTGCACACGATCGTAATGGCGGCGTAACAGCGGGGCAGCCTGAACTATTACTGCTCCCTCCCCCCCGCTTCCCCTTCCGGCTCTGCTGCAGTGCAACTGCTCAATGCACCACCACTCACCAGGTCACTGTGGCCCCCTCGCCTGCCCCCGCACTTCATGCTCACTGTCCCCCCGGCCCCCTCCCCCTTCGGCCCCCGCCGCCTGCCCTCGACCCCTGCTGTCACTGTGCTCCTGCACTACCTGTTCACTGCACCCCACCCCACCCCCCGCTGTCAATATCGGCCGGCCCGACCCCAACTCGACCCCCTGCCAGCCGTGGTGAACGGAAGTTCAGCGCGGATGCACAGGGTAACAGCAGCCGTGCCTATAGAATACGTCCCACTGCAGATAGCAGGCAGGTAAGGGCGCTGTGGCGTGCACGCTGCTCGTATGAAGTGCGGTACAAAGTCAAAGTGTATGGATAACAGTTGGTAATCATGGGTGCGGGGCTGCAAACGACGCTGTGGTATGGATGGTTCACAGCGAGCGGAGGCCATTGAAGAATGCAGAAACTGTTCGCTGAAAGCACAGGTTACACATACCAGTTGAAGAGGCGGTGACTTTTCACTGGGTTCTGCGACAACTCACCACAGCAACATTTCGCAGTAAGACCGCTTATTGCATCGCCCAACAGCAAGGAAGGCATGTCGAAGATGACCGTTTGCCTCACCAGCCGGCAGCCGTCATGCTAAAAGCTTCCTCACTCCGTGGTTGATATGATCCGAGCCGATCTGACCCAAATCGCAGCCACAAATCCAGTTCGTCCTATGTTAGAGCGATTCCAAACATCATCGGTCATTCCTCTCCGGCGGTCTCCGCTGCCGCGGCCGCTCTGTCGATACTCAGATCCCCCATTGCAGCAGCGAGCAAAGTATACCTATCCGTCACAGCACCAACACTCCAATTGGAGCCGACGCCTGAATGGGGAACCCACATCCGCCTAGCTTGATTACCTACACCATGGGAAAATATAGATGCCAGCGGGCTGCGGCCTTGTTGGGTTGGGTTATTTCAAAGCGGCGGGTCTAATCTACAAGTTCTCACCATTCTTTCGCGAACAGAACGGCTTGATACGAGCTATGCGATACTTTGACTTCCGCTTACATAGGTGTCAAGATCGTCATAACTGTCAAATTATGTCACGACTTTCACGAAAGGGCGTGAATTTTGCCACAACGACCGACTATCGAGCGAAGTAATGTCCGTCGCCATCGTTATTATATGAGTTGAGCACATGAGTTGAGCGCACACCACACCATATCGCTCGTTTCGAGCTATGTCGAAAACCGAACCGCATTCCAACTCCACACATTTCTCGATTCGTTCGCGTTTTCCCCAGCCAGTAAGCCGCTGAGTGCAAACGCCTCAACTCGTCACATCTCTCTTTCATCGTCCGCGTCCGCCCAGACCACTAACGCATCAACTCGACACATCTATATGCCATCGTCCCCGCTCACTCCGAGCACTAAACCCGTTCAGCACTGTTGCAGTCGGAACCAGCTCGCGTTCGACGACCTCGCTTCTAACCCAACTTCACCAGTCTCTAAGCGCCCGTCCCTCCCAGCAGTTTGGACTCAGTGAACCCTCAGATCTAGGCACCGATCGCTGCTAGTTGAGTGACTTTTCCCGCTGTGCTCTGGGTGCGAGCCGCGTGACGCAATGTGCGTGTCCGTCAGCGCAGCGCGTGCAGAGAAGCCGGTCGGATGGCTGACCCGTCTAACTCTGCGGGAAAGGTGCTAACTAGGCACGTGCCAGCGTTGAGCAGGGAGCAAAACAAGGTGCAATGTTGCACGGTTTAATGGAGGGGATGTATCAGCTGGTTAGCGATGCAATGAATTAGCACGTTACCAGTGGTGTAACGGTAAACTAAACCTTACGGAAAACACGGGCACTGCTTGCTCACTGAAATGAACGCCAACCATAGATCAGATACTCTTAAAAGTCCTGGAGGCTGAAACGCAGCATAGGGAGACATTTAAATAGACGCAATTTATTACCGACTTATAAATCGATGTGTAGGTTTAGATCCTAAATTATGCAAAACGGATTGTTCTTCGGTAGTCTTCGACTCTCAAAGAACGAGCCATTTTCCCGCTCAAACATCGTTGCGCAAGAACGCCACCATTTCAAGCAGCTCAAGCTTCCTGTCCCTTCTGTTAGCATAGGTAGAGAACCTTTGTGTACTTGCGACATATATATATATATATATATATATATATATATATATATATATATATATATATATATATATATATATATATATATATATATATATACCGATAAAATAACACCAAGACGCAGTGCCTAATTAGACCATAAATGATATTTTAGAGTCAAGTGCAAACACTTCAGTCAAATATCTAATACCGAGTACGGCCAATAATTTAACGGCGGCAGTGTCGATTCTCTGTTGGATTGGCACGTTGAATGTTCTAGAGTCATAGTGCCAGTCACGGCTGATAGCAAACTGCGCAGCCCACAACTGATTCGCCCGCTCCTATAAGTACAATGACGAAACGCAACAATACGCAACTTACATAAGCAACCAAATGTCTTGAAGAGATCCTCTCTACACGCATGCCAGTTGAAACATCGATTGAGCGGATACCAGTCCCACGACGCAGTAATGTCTCGTTGATTGGTAAATAATTTTGGTAACTAAAGCTGGGGACGATAACCAGTTTACGCTGTGCCATGGGCCGACCAGGGCGAGCAGGAGGCACAGACCGGTCCGTGTGGCAGTGCTAGCCAAGGACATACAACGAGACAGACTGATGGTTGAATAAATCGAAACAAACAGCGGGGTAAACATTACCTGATGCTGCAAGCCACCCTTACTAGCGATCACAAACACTAACCGACACAGCAGTCATCTTCCAGCGGAACAAACTTCAGCAAACAGCGGGACAAACACTGCAGACGAAGCAAACATCTGCTCATGTAACACACAGCCGCAGACAACTGGACAAACACTGGATACCGAAGGTTAGTCGGTGCACCTAACTATAAAGCTGCACATTGCAGAAACACGTACAACAATAACAAGGCTGTTAAAAGACCATTACGGTATGACATTTCGTAGCGAAGTACCGAATATGTTCACAGACATATTTTATGGATAATAATTAAGGTCATGCTGCACCTCTCATGGCTGAATCCGAACCTTTGGCCAGATGCAACGGCCGATATCTCATCTCGTGGATTCCTAGTCACATGACTGCTTGTATTACTGCAGGAACTGACTGATGGGCTGGATGGTTCGATATACAAGAAAATCTTCATATTTGAACGAAAACTAGGGAGAGAAAGAAAAGAGAAAGTGGCCAGGAGGAGAAGTTGCCCAGCAGACGCATATTTCTGCAAGCCTTTGGTAGACTGTAAGCTAATAAGGTAAAATAAAACGAAAACTACCAGAGAGAAAAAGTGAGACGGCAAACGATAGAAAACATAATGCGCATCGCATGCGCAGCCTGGCTATTTGCCTGTGACAATCTGGGTCATCGTGGCGGAACAAGACCATCTAATTCAAAGAATAATGTATATTTAATCGGACCGCCTCCTCGATATACCAGGTATTATTCGGTGTGCCTAGCCAAGGGTGTTTTAAATAATGCCCGAACGGAGTGAGGGCATTATTTTTTCTAAAATATTAACCGAACGAAGTGAGGTTAATATTTTCAAAAATAACACGAATGAAATGAGTGTTATTTTTGTATTTAATGCACGAGCCTGCGAGTGCATTAAATATAAACACTCTTGGCAAGGCACACCGAATAATGCCTGGTGTACCGAGGAGGCGGTCCGATTACATTTATTATAACGACTTTGCGCCGTTCGTTGCTCAGCTCGTCTATTTAAAAGGGCTACATTGAGGGATTGGGAAAAGAAACGGGGCTTGGTTTTGTTTTCGGGGAACATTTGTTAATAACGAAGTGTGTACTAATTAATCAAATTAATAGCGCCAATTAGGAAATGCAATAGTGGAATAAGTGGACTGTGCAATGTCTCGGTCAGTCTCTTATATTCATATGCAGGCCCTCTTGCAGCACTTGTAAAGAACTTAAGCACCCAGGGCCGCCTTCTGTGAGAACCTTATTCTGAAAACGCGTATTTACAAGCTCTGATCTATTCCATCATCTCTGTATCATGTGTGCCTGGGTATACCAATCAGACACTTGGCCTGCGCTGCTCCTATCACGATAAGTGGCTACAGCCCATTCTGGGTCTTCCTTGTGTTGGTTGGAACACCTTCTGCTTCTCTGTTCGCCAGCTCTTGGGAGAGCAAACTGCAGTTTTTTTCTCGCTGTCTGTACCATTCGTATCCATTTTCTGCATTACGAGCACCACCCTTGAGTGATCGGACAAAGCAGTGGGCCTATCAGATTAAAAAAAAAAAATAAGGCGTCTCAAAGCTCTCTCTGAATTTGATTAAGCTCTGTGTTGCCTTCGGTGCACTTAACATTCAATCTCAATGCAGGCCAATATTCTTTTTTTTCAGCGAGCAGCTTGAAACCATTCTTGTGAAACCATTCGGGCTCCACCACGGAAAGAAAAAGTCTGATTAACAATATTATTCCCGGGATTAATTTATGTTATACCGACGTTTTACTTAAAAAACTGAAATCACGCGCGCGTTTAGAGACAGTCCTCCGATGCTGCGAAAAATACTTGTGCTATCAAGATTTAACCATACTTTTTTAACATGCGTGAACGGCGCAAAGTCGTTATAATAACAATTACAATTATTTAATTAAGATAATTATACAAATGACATTATTTAGGCGCACATCGTTAATGACCACATGCGCAGCAATTCCAAGCCATGAATCATTAACCACAGCTGCTTTCACGACTTCAGACTTCCAATTTCCTATTATATTTTATGAGCGTGTTCTTGACTTGTGGCTTTCCGAAGAATATTCATCGACTTAACCTCTGCTAGGGTGCGCCTGACCTTCAAACAACCACTCAACCACTCCTACAAAACCAACAAACCAGTGCAGACTTTGAACCTGTATTCTGGACCACCAAATATCAGTAGTGAACGTTCGATTGGCCACGCCAAAGCGGCGGATGAATGAATTGATTACGACACAGAGCGGAGACACTACGGCATCCTTTGCTGTAGAACGTTACAATGACAGTCGAAATTCGCGGAATGAGCGCACCGATCGCACAGTTCGCGGGCAGTACGAATGTACCGAGGGGCGGCTGTGACCTCAGAGGGTCGATCTGAACCCTTTAGGGCGTCCACAACGTCCACAACTCCTGAAACATCTCCACCCCGTGATGACGCCTTTTCTTCCTCTTGATCACCGCCAATCCCCGCGACGCGAGCGTCCCCACAACCCCAGCAAAAGAAGACGCGGAGGCGGGGGCGGCCGCGACAACGGTGCGTCTAAGATGGTCCGGTTGCGGAGCGGCGAGAAGAGAGCCGCTTACCTCCATCATCGGCGGTGTATCGTCGACGGCGTCGATGACAACATCGTCGACGGCATCATCGGCAGCGGCGTCGACGGCGGCGCACTTACCATCAGTTCAGTAAGGGCGCGGCGGACCTGCGGGATAGGGACGGGCGTTAGAGGGACGCGGGGACAGACGGACCGCCCTACCGTGCGTTCGGTGAAGACTGGCAGGTCTCAGTGGCTGGTTACACCACAGCGGCCTACCTGTCTTCAGCAGGAGGCCATAGCGCGGCGTCTACGGCCCATCGAGCCGTGCTGACTTCCCTGGTTTGTTGGAGAGTCTCGCAGTCTTGATAAAACGCTTGACGTGGTAGAGATATCACCCACCTTGTATTTGTGAGTCAAACAGTCGCCGAAAGAGGGCAGGCGAATCGGTCGGGCCGATCGCACCTACCTATTCCAAACGCCGGACGAGGCCAGACAAAGTCGAACAACAGCGCACAACGATAGCACACATCGCGGTACACACCTTGAATTCGGAGAGGTTAGGAGACGACGCGTCCCTACCGTTGGCCTCCGAAGATTTAGAGAGGCAGGAAAAGAGCTTGAGCTCCCTACACCCACCGTTTCGGGCATTACTAGTCGTGTCCCTATCGTTGGTCTCCGAAGACTTCGAAGAAGCGAGAAAGAGCATGAGCTCCCTACACCCACCGTTTCTGATACACAGACACCTGGTGCCAACTTCCTTTACATTTCACATCAGCCACTAAACTCCCACCTCTCTTAGCTCAGCCCCGCCCGGCTGCCAGCGGTGGTACTTCTTCACACCCTTCCGCACGGGGCCGAGGGCATCTCAGACCACCTAGAACAGGAGATGTGCCGACATTTCGCCAAGCCCAGTCCCGATTGTCGGGAGCCGGGCTGGGGGTCGCTCTAAGCGCCCAACAACGCACGTTTGATTCTCTGGCGCTGTGAAATGTCGGCCGGTTCTGTCAGCCAAGTTCAGCGTGAAAACCCAGAGGGGTTTGGACCTTCCTCACCTCAGCGAACGAGGTATCTAGGTCTCTCGAGCCAGTTGAAATAGAAAGGTTGTGACTGGCGACTCATATGCCAAAGTGATATGTCTTGGCTGATCTTAAATATGCGAAGGAAATGAGGCAGGCTTATGTAACAATAGCTGCAGCCTAGCAGTCACCAAAACGCATCGTGAAACGAAAACGCTGGACCATATGCTTCAACCATTTGGAGTAAGATTATCTCATAATTGCTGAGAAAATAGCTACGTGAGACAAGTTATGCTTGCAATTTCATCTGATCACAAGTCTTCTATCAAATGACAATACAATATGCATAAATTCCCTGTATGAATGAATTTTGCTTCGTGTCCTCTGGACATTTTATCTAACCTCTCGCTCTCCAAAGGTTCCGCCACCTACCTCGTTGGACCCACCTCATTTGTCCGTACCTGACCTCGCGTTACTCTCGTGGCCACACCGGATGGCCTGATGGGACTGACATCTTGGCGACACATTCAACTTGCTGAACATTTGACGGTCATAACCAGGTGGCTCAAACTCACAATCATTTCTCAGTCAGCGCGGCAGTCGGCAGAGACGGGTCGAGAAACGAGTTGTAAAAGTTTCCACTCGCTCAAACTTGCATGGATGCTGAGTGCTGGCGAGAGGCGTTTAGCAACTGGGACATTTCGGCACTGCACTTGACGGATGAAACGAGATCTTCGGGGGCGAGGAGTAGGCGGGGGGGGGGGGGGGAGATAGCGATGGCACGTGCACATGACGATCATTCTAGAACACTCATACACACAGATGATGAAGCACGTTGCCAGCCGCTTGAGTCTATGGTGACCGTCGTACAAATATACAGAGTCGCGCAAAGTTTACAGTGACCAGGTCCCCAGTTTCGGCAGCTGAATGTACTATATCATATCCCAGCAGCCCTGCAAGATACATCGCGAGCGCATAATATAGAAAAACACAGCTGCCAACATACTGAAAATCGTCAGTAAGGTCCGACTGGCATGTGCAGTTATAACTTGCATGACAAAATCACTAAAAATGTGTTAAAGCCCGCGCCTCACGTGTCTTACGTAACATGTTTCGAATGCTTATTCGACACGGTTGCTTGTAAACATAAGAAATAACGCTGTATCGCAATATCTACGCCAATAAATGACGGACGCACCCGCACATTTCAAGCGCCCTGACGTAATACCGCTACTAAATCGATGTCGTGGGGACGCTTAGCATCTTGTAAGAAACGTTTATAAGGAAATAGTGCGAAGCTTTGGGAGTAAATCCCTTCAGCAGTCACGAAACAATGTCAATGACCTGCCTGATGGCAAGTTCTGCAACGCATAACATCGAACATGACACTCAAATACCGTAGTCTACATATTCGAGTTTAAGTCGCATAAGTGCCTGTGAGCCTACGAGCCTTCTCTAAGACAATATGAGATGCACCTCTAAATATTACACACTACCCGCTATCACACGATATCACCTAATCATGAGCATAGCTGCAAACATTCCATGTAACCAACGTCACAGACCTGAAAGCAATTCTACACGGAACGCCGTCCACACTCAACGTTTCGTTTCGTTATGACCACAAATCCGGAAAACATGTATCAGTTGTTACATAACGACCCGTTTGTTCCATAGAAATGTCGGGAAAACCGGCCTCAAGAGATCTCCGCGGAAAATCCGTTTCCTGCTTTGATGGTGCCATGAATAAAATTATTTAATTTAATTAATAGCTCTACTGGTGGCTTTTAAGTGCCTTTGTGACCAACTTTGGAGGCAATAAGCGCTGTTCTAGAGGCGGCTCAGCCTGCCTTTCTACACTCACCTCCAGCCATTCCAGGCGGCCGGGCGCCCAGCAAACCGGGCTGCGGTCCGCCCGGGCGCATCATCCCCATCTGTCGGCAGAGAAACAAACTAGTGTTACACCAGCTGGCCGCCGGCGGCGCTAGTGGCGTCTCTCCAGACACGGCCGGGGCTCTAACGAATACGTGTCGGGCGAGGTTATATAACTTGCAACAGAGCGACTGTTCAGGGATCAATGGTCGCTGGCGGCATTCTGCAGTTCCGTGGCAACAGGCGACACCAGCACCGCCTGGCGGAGACTGGGCGAACTGACTAGTGTCACGGTCGAACAGAGTCGGAGTGTTTAATTGGACGACATTCACCAGTAGCAACTCATATGACGCCAACCACGGGTAAAAATAAACACAAACGGAAACTAAAAAACATGCTTAAGCAGGCGTTATTTCAGCATCAATCCAAATGTAAAATTATCGAATAAAACCGCTTCCTTGGAAACCACCAGCTGTCGCATGACACCTTAAAAACCCACAAATGCGTCGCCTGGCGAATCCATTAGCAGTTCAACTCGTATTCAAGTTTAAACTTTCCAGACGATTCAACCGGGGCGGCGGGTTCGCTCGTGAGGCACGCTCGTGAGGCTGACAGCTGGAGACAGCCGAGATATGAGAGTGAATCCAAAATAGAGACCCACCCACCAACCAATACTGCCACTCCTGCAGCTGCAAGGGTCGATAAAACTTCGAACTGATTCCTCTCAACTTCAGTCTCTTCTTCAGTCTCTTCTCTTCAGTCTCTTCTCAACTTCCGACCCCTCAGTCTCAGTCTCAGACCCTTCCATCCCCTAAGGTTTCATCCCTCCACTCCCTCAGTTTCAGTCCCTTTCAGTCTCTCAGGCCCCCTCAGTTTCAGTCTCTCAGTCCCCCTCAGATCCAGTCCCTCTCAGTCCCTCCACTCTCCTCAGCCCCTCCCGTCCCTTCAGTCTCACTTTCTCCTGTCCTCTCCCTCTCTGTCTTGTTTTTGTTTTTATGACTCAATAAAATGAACTGAACTGAACTGTCTCTCCCGCCCTCCCAGTCTCTCCCCAGCCCCCCCCCCCACTCCCATTCTCTCTCACCTGCTGCATATGGTGGGGCGGCCGCAGTCCGCCGATCCCACCGCCCTGTGGGTGTCCGCCGCCCATCGGACCGCCCTGGCCGGGCTGGTGGGCGCCCACCAGGCCGCCGCGGCCCTGGGGCTGACGGTAGCGGGCCAGCTGGGCGCGACGCTCCTCCTGCGGACGAGAAGGGGGAAGGGGGTAAACAACGGGTTAATATCAGGATAAGAATAGAGTGATGTCGGGGTAATAGACCAGGCGGGCCAACTGGGCGCGACGCTCCTCCTGGGGAAGAAAGGAAAAGGGTAAGAATGGGGTAATATCGGAGTAATCGCGGGCCAGCTGGGTATGACGCTCCTCCTGGAGACACAGGAAAAGGGGGTAGCAACGGAGTAACAACGGGATAATATCGGGGTCAACAAGACAATCATGCATATACACGAATGAAGGCACGAACATGGGTTTCCGGTACCAATGCTTACACGCTCCTCCAAGGACTCCAACTCAGACAATGGAGTGACACATAACGAAAGTTACGCTAGGATGCCGTGAACGTAGCGGCAGCAATAATACAGGGTAATCGCAAGGAATTAAGGGGTAACGTCCAGGATCCAACTAAAGCCCTCCCTCCATTTTCCTTCGCCGTAATTTCACCAGCGATATATCCTGCTCAAAAAACGGTGCCTCGACTCTCCCTCCTTTTCTCACTGTCTTCCTCCCTCTCCCCCTCTGTCTATCTCCGTCTCAATATCTATTTATTTTCCCTTTCTCTCACCAGCGAAATATCCTGCTCGGGGTGGACAATCTTGCTGGTGGCGCCTCCCTGCTGTATCAGTGCCGGCTTTCTGCTGATCTCTGACGCAGTGGGTATCGGGGCGCCGCCCGGCCCGCCCATGGAGGGCACGGATGATACCCCCTGGACGGGGACCGAGGGAGCTCCGACCACCGGAGCGCCCGGACGGGTTACCGTGGCCGACGGCTGGCTGTGGGAGCAGAATAAGAGGGTACGGGTCAAGGTTACAGGTTAAGCGCACAGCTCAGCTGTGGTCAGCGGTCATTGTCGGTACTAGATGGTCGCATGTTTGGTCGAGTCATCGGCGGTAAAGTTGGCACCTGAGATTGACACATAAGGTTGACAGTTATCGGCAAGAAATGTGCTGCTAGCATCGGTAAGATGCAATACAGATCACGTTGAAAATAAGCAAAAATCGCGAAATATACGCAATAATTGTGGACCAGAAACTAGTATCTCAGCAGGACAGCGGAGCCTAAGGATTTTTAGAGGCTCTGACCCCGGCTTCAAAAATCGACCCCGAGTCCACTCCGACTTCAGCTCCGACTCCGGCCATATCTCTTAAAGTCCACATCATACCACTAAAGTTCATGTCGGAGCCGAGTTTCACCCTGCCTGAAACAAGGCCTTCTGCATTCCACGGACTTACGTTGCAAATATATTAATAAATAACAAAGTGAACTAAGAGCAGGTTCTGGCGCGCACGCATTGTTCTGCTTTTCAAGCTTAAAAATCTGGTCCGAAACAAGAGTATGGCCAGCTTAGTTTCGATAAAATCTGTCTTGGAAACGTCAAGGAACGCAACGTTCTCCGGCAAATAGGTGTAGGGAATGACTTTGAGTCATGCAATGTCGACTCCGACCCTGGACTGGAGTCGGTGTCGGTAAAATTTTGACGACTGTGACTCCGACTCCGGGTAGAACTGTCGACTCCGATCGAATTCCACTTCAACTTCGTAATGGAAAAACAGTATTCATGACAAACTGCATACCAACGCATGTTACTAAACGAAACGTATCGTATCATAGACCTCTGTATACGTCCTGGACTGGACACAGAAATCTCGCTATGACCACAACGGCCCTAAAAGTAAACTCGATACCCGGTTTACCTACGACATCCATTCTTTCACCCCGCATAGCCTCATTCATTGAAAATGATGGGGACCATCCGCCAAACCGATGCAGTGTAATGGGGATAACCTGCACGTGGCGCGTAAGAGATGGTTATGAAAATGGCGAGACAGTATCCCGGTGACAGTAAATCATAGACCTCGGTATACAGAGGTCTATGATCCAATAATTCTCGAACAAAATACGTAAAAGTGCCGAATATGGTGACAACGAAGGACGTCGCAATCTAAAGAAGAAAAAAGACCTATCCATCAATATTGTCCAACCCATCGGCGGATAACCTCCCACACATGACCCTAAGGCGAGATGACCATAAGCAGGGATCAAAATGTAGTATTTCTCATCCACGCTGTAGACCTAACTTTCCCGTCAATGAACACCATACCCCACCAAACTCACCTATAGGCGGGGAAGGCCGGCCGCGGCCCGCTATCCATGCCTGCTCCTGGTCCAGGGAAGCCGGGCTGGGGCGCAGTCACCTGAGCCGCCGGGAACAGGGGCCGGGACGGGCCACCAGGGGGCATCCCCATGGGCCGTCCGCCCATCGGGCCCATGCCACCCATGGGGCCCATCGGACCCATTGGGCCCATGGGTCCCATGCCGCCCATTTGGTTCATCATGCTGCGAAGGGAGACGGGTGGGGTCAGAGTTCCCTGGGGTGAATGAGGCGGTATACGAAACTATGTAAAAGTTACAAGAACAATTTACAGCTAAAAGCTGCAAAAGACGATACCAGTATCCAGTGGTGAAAATTACACTCCAAAATTCGCACACCTATGTTCAGTAAGTGAAAACAACTTAAAACTAAAACGAAATAGTAGACCGAGTAAAAACTAGTTAAGAAAAAAAATGTTATTAAGAGATAATCCGTGTTTGGCAGCAAATGAAAAAGCACTGACGCGAATACACACGCTATTTTGCGACACGGGTAGCAAAACGTGAGCACTCGCTCAATATCAGCCTATTCCTAATCTTCTCAGCGCACTCACCCGGGATGCATGCCGTACGGTCCCATGCCGGGTCCTCCTCCCATGGGCCCCATGGGCCTCATCATGCCGGGCCCGGCCATGCCGTGGGGCCCGGCGCCGCCCGCTCCGGGCCCTGCCATGCCGGGCAGGGCGCCGAACGGCTGCTGCGTGGACGGGTGCAGCTGGGACGAGCGAGACGGGCCGGCCGGACCGCCGGCTGGATTCGAGTCGTCATCTGAGGGGGGGGAGGCGTCATTGGAGGCGTCATCGAGTGGAAATGGCGTCTAAGAATACTAGGTACGTTAACGACATTTTACAAAACTTTTCAGACATGACGCAAGACAAATTTAGTATTAACAAAGTGATTATAAAAACTATCGATTCAACATCACAGCATGGTCAATAATCATGAGCCAGTGGACAAATGGTACTGATTCAAAACAGCCTATCACAACATTGACTGCCTTTTTGACTGGCAGAAATATAAAGAACCCTAACGTCTAACGTTACGTCTTACGTTGTTGTTTTCTAGTCACAAAGTCTTGGACGTCGGGCAACTTACCATCATCGTCGTTGTTTTTGTTACTGCCCTTGTTCTTCAGGTTCTGCTCGTGTGCCCGCACGTCCTCCTCAGGGATGCCCTCCATACCGTAGATCTCGATCTCGATATTATTCCGGTTGGGCAGAGCATTGGGAACTTTGTCCACTGTTTCTTTATGAACCTGCGGAGAGGAAAGGCGCCGTCGATAATGGTAATATGGACCTAAATTTGGGTCGGTAAAATGACAACAAAATGTCAGATAGAGCATGTCTCTAGCTGCAGATAGCTAGCATACCTACTGGTTTGGTAGATGTTACTTTGCTTTGTTCGTTCATCAACATTTTTGTTCGTTCATCAACAACACTTTAGTTTGTTGACATCAATCAATGCTAAAATGGACGACATCCAATCCAGATATGTAAGTATTTCGTCGCCAGTCCCTACTTACTCTAACTGGCTCCAACCACTGACAAAGGCCCATGCTCAAGAAAATCCAGTGACAGCCGAGAAACCCTGTTACTTACCTGCATGCAGTGAATGGATAGACCCGGTCCCGTGTACAGTTTCTTGTGGCACACATGACATTTGAAGTGCTTGGCCTTCTGATGCTGGATCAGAATCTTCTCGTCATCAAACTCACGGTTACAGTACCTGTGATTGTCTGGTTAAGGATTTTTACAGTGCTCTTGACATGTCAGCTGAATATTTGGACACAATTACAGTCACAATTTTTGCACATACCCCCAGCAGTGGGTAGAGGGGTTCTGTCTGTCTAGCTGTTCAGATTCATTTTACAAAATATGTACTGAATCACAATCTCCAACTCAACATGGAAGCCTAGGTGACACTGGCATCAGGCAATCAGTCAGCTTCTTGATGGCCTCTCATTTCAAGAATCAAGTTTTTGAGTCTCCAGGAAGTTGATAACTTCTCTGATATGTGGCAGACCGATCTTGCCTGGATCAAACCGTTGCCCTTACACATTTCAAATGTTTAATGCGAATTATCGCAAATATACCTACCTACTTTGTAAATAAAATAGGTACCTACTGAGTACCTTCTGAGCTTTCGTTTCGTTGGACTCCGCGTGGTGAGAGCACGCGTTCCCGGTTACAACAGTCCGGGTTTGAGGCGCGACGGGCGCTCGAAGTTTATGAGCCTCCTGACAGGTATGGTTGCGGTTGGTGGCAGGCCGTCGCCAGGCGTAGTCAGTGAGGGGACCGGCCGTGCGCGACTATATGCGTACGTTAAACTTTGAACTCCAAATTCTGCCATAGAACCGGAATTGCGCGATCGGAGGGTAGAGGGTAGGGTCAACGCAACAAGCTTCGCTTAGCGGGGGCTCTGTCCTTGTGAATCCTTCCAGTTCCATTCAAAAGGTTCGGACAAAATTTATAAAAAAGAACACATATTGACATAGATGTTGGCAATGAGGAAAGTTGAATTGAGAAAGTTGAAAGATAAAAATGATGTAACCTACGTGCAGGGCGCAAATGGTTGAGAAACATACAAGCATTTACAATGCTGGTAATTTAATCAACAGTATGAGTTTGAGCTTCAACCCTCGCCCGTATGGCGGGGGGGGGGTCGAGCCCCCCTCGGTTTTTCGCGAATAACTAGCGTAAAAAGCGGCCGATCGCGACGAAACTTTCAGTACCCTCGAGTTGATCAATGTTACACCTACCCTGAAAATTTCATGACCCTGACCCAAATGAACTTTGACCTGTGACCTACTTTTCAAGACCATGTTTGCCCAGAATCGCGATTCGGCGTATGTCGGCTCGCATTAGCCGCGAATTTGCAGTCTTTTCGTGGTTTCAAGCATTCAAACATGTGAAATGATGTTGGTCCCATGCATTAGGGTGGGTGTCAAGGTCACCTGAAGGTCAGGTCAGGTCATTGACCTTTGATGACCTCGGTTCATTTTTTCGAGTCTTGCATGTTTCTAGACCAGTTTTTGGAGCTGAATTCAGATTTAGCAACCATATGAACATTTACAAAGTAGTTTTGGTGCCTTCGTAACATGTTACGAAACTATCAGAGCGCAGCTGACACCTACTACCAATACCCGGCAGGACCCCTACTGGTTGACCTGACCCGACCTGCCCTAAATGCATGAAGACATCATCTGTGATCAAAACTAACATGATATTCGTGATCAGCATTCAGCACCCCGAAAAACCCATAGCAGCCACACTTTATGATGTTCTAACAGGTCCAGATTTTCCTGACTTTTGGGTCATTGACCTGACCTGGAAGGTCAACCAATGACCTAGGACCTTAAAATTGGGTATCATCGGCTTCCTCTCATCATGGGCCAGTCTGCAAAACGTGGCAGGGTTCGACGAGATCTCGTCGGGGCAGACACAGTGGGGCAGGGGCAGAAATCGGGGCAGCTTTTGAGAAGTTGGGGCAGAGTTCGGCTATTCCGGGGCCGGGGCGGGGCGCACGGTACCGGGAAAAAATAATAAAGTCTAGAAGCGCAGTGTTGTTGAAACGCGCGAGAAAAAGTGGGCTGCGCCACAATCATCGCTAAAGCGCAGATATTGTCATTTGAAACTGCTGCCATATTCAAATTTCCCTTCATCCGGGCTATGAATGTTTTCCGCGCCGTGTTTCGTATTAGCAACCAAGGAAAGGTTTGTGTGTGAATTTCACGAGCCTTGATCAAATCGCCCCAGACCTAAGAAGTAAGAATCATACCGCGACCGATTTCAGCATTTGCACGGGTAATGTATTTATATGTGTGGTTTTTATGCCATACATAGTTCATTTAGGGCATAATCTAACCTGCCCCGAGTAGATGCCCCATTTGGGGCAGAAATTGGGCTGCCCGGAAGTCAACTGCCCCTTTTGGGGCAGGATTCCGGCTGCCCCAAACACCTCGTCGAGCTGGCTACCACGTTTTGCAGACTGGATCATGGGCAGCACACTTGTTTTTTTCCACGAAGCTTTAGCTCAATCAGGGGCAAAACGGGAAGGGGGATCCAACGATTTCGTATCTGTTGGGTTAGGCCCTTTCGGTCCAATAAGACCATTTCAGAGCCGGGAGGATGATAGGATATAGGGGGAGACATTGGTCTGGGCAGGCACTCTAGTGAGTCACCGGGGCCGAGCCCGTCCAGAGGACAGACCACCCAGCCCCAAGGAACTCACTGCACCCGGCTACGGGGTGCGCTCCCTCGGGAGCAGCCCGCATGGGGGAAAGTTGCCTGTCCAGCCCGGAGGGGTTGCGGCATGGAGGAGAAGGACTTCTGTATCCTGAGGATAGAAGCACAGAACTGTGTGAAAGGTCCAACGATCCCCCTCCCCATTTATACGTTCGCGGCTGGAAAAACACCAATACGGGCGAGGGTTAATGGGCAATAATGCACAAAACAAATGCATCTTATAATAAAGGATACCAGCACCATGGCTTCTGCTGCTTCTTCTTCTTGCGTCCCATTATTAATAAAAAAAACGAGAAACGACAGAAAATTGTGGTCTCTCAACCAATGAAAGTAGCAGTGTTACGTTGGTTGCGACCAATAAAAAATATACAAATATTCAAAAAGATAATGAAAGTAACGTCCATCAATTGAGCAGCAGTTTGATATTCGCGAATATCAAACTAAAAATTCGATATTCGGACGGGGAACGCAATAACTCAAGAACCAGTGAACCGATTTTGATGAAAAGACCCTCATTCGATTCCTCGTTCCTCATTGCAGGTTGACAGCGATTTTCAGGTCACTAGGTCATGACCTTCAAGGTCAAGGTCAAGGTCAAAGGACGGGGAACGCTCTACAGCCTAAAGTTACCGTCCGAATGGCTTGTAAATGGTCTCAATCGATTCCCTGACCCCGATTCCAGGTTGACAGCGATTTCCAGGTCACTAGGTCATGACCTTCAAGGTCAAGGTCAAGGTCAAAGGACGGGGAACGCTCTACAGCCTAAAGTTACCGTCCGATTGGCTTGTAAATGGTCTCAATCGATTCCTTGACCCCGATTCCAGGTTGACAGCGATTTCCAGGTCACTAGGTCATGACCTTCAAGGTCAAGGTCAAGGTCAAAGGACGGGGAACGCTCTACAGCCTAAAGTTACCGTCCGATTGGCTTGTAAATGGTCTCAATCGATTCCTTGACCCCGATTCCAGGTTGACAGCGATTTCCAGGTCACTAGGTCATGACCTTCAAGGTCAAGGTCAAGGTCAAAGGACGGGGAACGCTCTACAGCCTAAAGTTACCGTCCGATTGGCTTGTAAATGGTCTCAATCGATTCCCTGACCCCGATTCCAGGTTGACAATTATTTTCAGGTCACTAGGTCATGACCTTCAAGGTCAAGGTCAAGGTTCGCGAATATCAAACTAAAAATTCGATAATCGGACGGGGAACGCAATAACTCAAGAACCAGTGAACCGATTTTGATGAAAAGACCCTCATTCGATTCCTCGTTCCTCATTGCAGGTTGACAGCGATTTTCAGGTCACTAGGTCATGACCTTCAAGGTCAAGGTCAAGGTCAAAGGACGGGGAACGCTCTACAGCCTAAAGTTACCGTCCGATTGGCTTGTAAATGGTCTCAATCGATTCCCTGACCCCGATTCCAGGTTGACAGCGATTTCCAGGTCACTAGGTCATGACCTTAAAGGTCAAGGTCAAGGTCAAAGGACGGGGAACGCTCTACAGCCTAAAGTTACCGTCCGATTGGCTTGTAAATGGTCTCAATCGATTCCTTGACCCCGATTCCAGGTTGACAGCGATTTCCAGGTCACTAGGTCATGACCTTCAAGGTCAAGGTCAAGGTCAAAGGACGGGGAACGCTCTACAGCCTAAAGTTACCGTCCGATTGGCTTGTAAATGGTCTCAATCGATTCCCTGACCCCGATCCCAGGTTGACAGTCATTTTCAGGTCACTAGGTCATGACCTTCAAGGTCAAGGTCAAGGTTCGCGAATATCAAACTAAAAATTCGATATTCGGACGGGGAACGCAATAACTCAAGAACCAGTGAACCGATTTTGATGAAAAGACCCTCATTCGATTCCACGTTCCTCATTGCAGGTTGACAGCGATTTTCAGGTCACTAGGTCATGACCTTCAAGGTCAAGGTCAAGGTCAAAGGACGGGGAACGCTCTACAGCCTAAAGTTACCGTCCGATTGGCTTGTAAATGGTCTCAATCGATTCCCTGACCCCGATTCCAGGTTGACAGCGATTTCCAGGTCACTAGGTCATGACCTTCAAGGTCAAGGTCAAGGTCAAAGGACGGGGAACGCTCTACAGCCTAAAGTTACCGTCCGATTGGCTTGTAAATGGTCTCAATCGATTCCTTGACCCCGATTCCAGGTCGACAGCGATTTCCAGGTCACTAGGTCATGACCTTCAAGGTCAAGGTCAAGGTCAAAGGACGGGGAACGCTCTACAGCCTAAAGTTACCGTCCGATTGGCTTGTAAATGGTCTCAATCGATTCCCTGACCCCGATTCCAGGCTGACAGTGATTTCCAGGTCACTAGGTCATTACCTTCAAGGTCAAGGTCAAGGTCAAAGGACGGGGAACGCTCTACAGCCTAAAGTTACCGTCCGATTGGCTTGTAAATGGTCTCAATCGATTCCCTGACCCCGATTCCCGGTTGACAGTTATTTTCAGGTCACTAGGTCATGACCTTCAAGGTCAAGGTCAAGGTTCGCGAATATCAAACTAAAAATTCGATATTCGGACGGGGAACGCAATAACTCAAGAACCAGTGAACCGATTTTGATGAAAAGACCCTCATTCGATTCCTCGTTCCTCATTGCAGGTTGACAGCGATTTTCAGGTCACTAGGTCATGACCTTCAAGGTCAAGGTCAAGGTCAAAGGACGGGGAACGCTCTACAGCCTAAAGTTACCGTCCGATTGGCTTGTAAATGGTCTCAATCGATTCCCTGACCCCGATTCCAGGTTGACAGCGATTTCCAGGTCACTAGGTCATGACCTTCAAGGTCAAGGTCAAGGTCAAAGGACGGGGAACGCTCTACAGCCTAAAGTTACCGTCCGATTGGCTTGTAAATGGTCTCAATCGATTTCTTGACCCCGATTCCAGGTTGACAGCGATTTCCAGGTCACTAGGTAATGACCTTCAAGGTCAAGGTCAAGGTCAAAGGACGGGGAACGCTCTACAGCCTAAAGTTACCGTCCGATTGGCTTGTAAATGGTCTCAATCGATTCCTTGACCCCGACAAGCCAATCGGACGGTAACTTTAGGCTGTAGTGAGACCATTTACAAGCCAATCGGACGGTAACTTTAGGCTGTAGAGCGTTCCCCTTCATTGACCTTGTATTCGCGAATCTGCTGTTAATGAAAATGACCTTGAAGGTCATGACCTAGTGACCTGGAAATCGCTGTCAACCTGGAATCGGGGTCAAGGAATCGATTGAGACCATTTACAAGCCAATCGGACGGTAACTTTAGGCTGTAGAGCGTTCCCCGTCCTTTGACCTTGACCTTGACCTTGAAGGTCCTGACCTAGTGACCTGGAAATCGCTGTCAACCTGGAATCGGGGTCAAGGAATCGATTGAGACCATTTACAAGCCAATCGGACGGTAACTTTAGGCTGTAGAGCGTTCCCCGTCCTTTGACCTTGACCTTGACCATGAAGGTCATGACCTAGTGACCTGGAAATCGCTGTCAACCTGCAATAAGGAACGAGGAATCGAATGAGGGTCTTTTCATCAAAATCGGTTCACTGGTTCTTGAGTTATTGCGTTCCCCGTCCGAATATCGAATTTTTAGCTTGATATTCGCGAACCTTGACCTTGACCTTGAAGGTCATGACCTAGTGACCTGGAAATCGCTGTCAACCTGGAATCGGGGTCAAGGAATCGATTGAGACCATTTACAAGCCAATCGGACGGTAACTTTAGGCTGTAGAGCGTTCCCCGTCCTTTGACCTTGACCTTGACCTTGAAGGTCATGACCTAGTGACCTGGAAATCGCTGTCAACCTGGAATCGGGGTCAAGGAATCGATTGAGACCATTTACAAGCCAATCGGACGGTAACTTTAGGCTGTAGAGCGTTCCCCGTCCTTTGACCTTGACCTTGATCATGAAGGTCATGACCTAGTGACCTGGAAATCGCTGTCAACCTGCAATAAGGAACGAGGAATCGAATGAGGGTCTTTTCATCAAAATCGGTTCACTGGTTCTTGAGTTATTGCGTTCCCCGTCCGAATATCGAATTTTTAGTTTGATATTCGCGAACCTTGACCTTAACCTTGAAGGTCATGACCTAGTGACCTGAAAATGACTGTCAGCCTGGAATCGGGGTCAAGGAATCGATTGAGACCATTTACAAGCCAATCGGACGGTAACTTTAGGCTGTAGAGCGTTCCCCGTCATTTGACCTTGACCTTGACCTTGAAGGTCATGACCTAGTGACCTGGAAATCGCTGTCAACCTGGAATCGGGGTCAAGGAATCGATTGAGACCATTAACAAACCAATCAGACGGTAACTTTAGGCTGTAGAGCGTTCCCCGTCCTTTGACCTTGACCTTGACCTTGAAGGTCATGACCTAGTGACCTGAAAATGGCTGTCAGCCTGGAATCGGGGTCGAGGAATCGATTGAGACCATTTACAAGCCAATCGGACGGTAACTTTAGGCTGTAGAGCGTTCCCCGTCCTTTGACCTTGACCTTGACCTTGAAGGTCATGACCTAGTGACCTGAAAATGGCTGTCAACCTGGAATCGGGGTCGAGGAATCGATTGAGACCATTTACAAGCCAATCGGACGGTAACTTTAGGCTGTAGAGCGTTCCCCGTCCTTTGACCTTGACCTTGACCTTGAAGGTCATGACCTAGTGACCTGAAAATGACTGTCAACCTGGAATCGGGGTCGAGGAATCGATTGAGACCATTTACAAGCCAATCGGACGGTAACTTTAGGCTGTAGAGCGTTCCCCGTCCTTTGACCTTGACCTTGACCTTGAAGGTCATGACCTAGTGACCTGAAAATCGCTGTCAACCTGCAATGAGGAACGAGGAATCGAATGAGGGTCTTTTCATCAAAATCGGTTCACTGGTTCTTGAGTTATTGCGTTCCCCGTCCGAATATCGAATTTTTAGTTTGATATTCGCGAATATCAAACTGCTGCTCAATTGATGGACGTTGAAAGATGCGCGTATAGTTGCATCATATTCACATTCAGATTCACATTCAGATTCGTTCCGAATATCGATCATTTTCATCGATATTCAGATTCGTCCCGAATATCGATCATTTTCATCGATATTCGCGGCGCGCATGCGCACTGCCAATATCGATGACCTTGAATTCACATTCACATTCGTTCCGAATATCGATCAGTTTCATCGACATTTACATTGGCGGCGCGCATGCGCACTGCGAATATCGATGACCTTGAATGCACATTCACATTCGCGTTCCGAATATCGATCAGTTTCATCGACATTCAGGTTGGCGGCGCGCATGCGCGCTGCGAATATCGATGACCTTGAATGCACATTCACATTCGCTGCGCGCATGCGCACTGCGAATATCGATGACCTTGAGTGCACATTCAGATTCAGGGGAGGGGGAAGAAGGGGGGGGGGTATCAATTCCCGCGGCATAGGCGGCGGAACGGGGAGGGCACCGGGAGTTTCTTACATGCGCAGAGGCGTTTCCAGAGCCTAGTTCTTGGAGGCACTTTTCGCCAGACTTCGACTTTTCCGACATTTACCGGTAGAGAACGTGTTTTAGCCGCGCGTTAGCAATGGTATTTTGCGGCACAATTCTGTTATCAATTTGAAATCCTTTGTATGTCTTCTAAACTACAAATGCATTCAAGCGATGACGTTTGATTTTGTTTGTTAATTTTTGTGGTAGGTAAATCAGGAGCTGCGTGCGGCCGCGAAACAGCTCGTTTTGTGTGCCTCTAGCGCCTCGGTACATCTGGCTTCAATCAAAAGAAAGGAACTGTAACATAGTTACATATATTGTATTTCTCATAGCACCGGACACAGCCGGCCAACAGGCGCGAGCAGCACACGCTCCCTAGCAACTTAATACTGGGTCAGCGGCGACAGAGCCGGCCGTGAGATCACGCAGCGTCGCCAGCCGCGCCAGGAACTCAACAGAACAGTGTACGGGGCCAGCAGCAGCCGCTCCGCCCCGCCCCGCCGCGCGGGTCGCAACTGTCCCACCCCGTGAGCACGTGGGGGCCTCCTCTGACGCCGCAGGGAACACACGATCCCTCCAAGACACAGGTGCAGACAGGCACTGAGGTATCCGCACGCTGTCCATGTGGACTCGAACGGGCATCCAAACTGGAGGTCCAGGCCGACCGACTCCAATCGCCCTGGCGACTACACGCGACATTGGATCCTGCCCGCCGCGCCGGTAGATGTTAGCAGCGGGCAGACTCCACCGCGCAACCCACTCTGTAGCCCAGGGGGCCCGGGGTTCGCCCCATGACCGGAGCACGCCGCCGTCACGAACTACAGCCGCGCGCTTCCGCCGCCGGCGGCGGTGCGGCGGTGCGGCGGTGCGGCAGCCGTTAGAAGCTCTGCGCGACGTGACGGAGCGCCGATGACGACGACGGCACGGTGTGCGTGATAAAGCAGATGAGACGGGTGGGCACTGGGCAGCACTCCGGCGTTCAGCTGGTAAAACTCCACCAGCTGGATGACGTCGTACAAGCGAGTCTTGCCGCCGTCCAGCACCGTGACCGGCGGCTGCCTGATGTCCTTTACCTGTGGAGGGGAGAAAATGGTCAACTGAGGTCGGTGGGCGACCAGCAGGGGGCCAATGAGATGGCCGGATCGACACCGGATTAATCTTTATGCACGTATGATCGCTACTTACCAGTATAACGCCTTTTGGGGCGACTAACGGAGCGAGCGAGAGGGTGGGCCTTGCACGTGCGAAATTTCGAGGGGGTACCTCCAACTGACTTGTGCACGGCACCCTACTAACCGATCTCTAGCGATGTGTCAAATTTGAGCACAATCGGCCCAGCCGTTCTCGAGATCTGGGAGCGGCACCCTGCACGTGCGCACGTGCAGAAAGGGTCCCAACTGACTTGTGCACGGCACCCTACTAACTGGTCCCTAACCGTGTACCAAATTTGAGCGCCATCGGTCCAGCCGTTCTCGAGATCTGGAAACGACCCCTGCACGTGCGCACGTGCAGCAGCACCCCAACTCTGGCACATGTATATGCAGTGCCTAGTGGGTGCCTACCTACATGCCAACTTTCAGCGCAATCGGCCGAGTAGTTACCGAGATATTGCAACAATTACAAAACTGACACCTCTTCGTTTTGCACGTGGCACGTGCATAAGGGGTCACCCACATGCATCGGGAACAGTCCAATACTTGGTAGAAGGAATGAAGCTACCCTACAAAAATTACCGCGTGTAAATCGGTCAAGTGGTTGCTGAGATATAAGCCTCGCAAAAGCGTCCGCACGGCCGGCCGGCCGCTCATAACTCAGAAATTTCCGTTAATCTAAGGAAAGACTCCGCTCGCTTCGCTCGCTCCGTAATGATAGCACGACCGGTAAGTCATCGTCCAGGGAAATCTAAGTCTAAATGTAGTACAAACTGTCGGAAGACAACGGCTAATCGTCGCGAATCCCAAACCGTTTCGCAATAATCCATGACCTACGCCAACAATTGGCAACAGAACTCGGCCAAAGTCTACTAATATCGAGCCAGCTGGCCTCTTCTCCTCCCTTCCAGAGCCTTCCTGGGCATTTCACAACTGCTACCCTACCAGCTGGATGCACGTTCGTCGCTCATTCATCATGTCTAGTTCATGAGCGTCAGTTTCTTTTGAAATGTGAGCTGCCGACCAGCGTCCCAGATTAAACTTTGCATCTCGAATGGGCCGAGCGGCGAAAACAACCGCGGCTCTGAGAGGGTCCCGAAAGGCTAAGCGCTAGACGGGGCGAACTCACCCGGAGAATAAAACGCCGGGACCAGAAAGCGGCCTCATTCCCAGCACTGGTGGGCAGCACTCCGGCGTTCAGCTGGTAAAACTCCACCAGCTGGATGACGTCGTACAAGCGAGTCCTGCCGCCGTCCAGCACCGTGACCGGCGGCTGACTGGTGTCCTTTACCTGTGGAGGGGAGAAAATGGTCAACTGAGGTCGGTGGGCGACCAGCAGGGGGCCAATGAGATGGCCGGATCGACACCGGATTAATCTTTATGCACGTATGATCGTTACTAATGATAGCACGACCGGTAAGTCATCGTCCAGGGAAATCTAAGTCTAAATGTAGTACAAACTGTCGGAAGACAACGGCTAATCGTCGCGAATCCCAAACCGTTTCGCAATAATCCATGACCTACGCCAACAATTGGCAACAGAACTCGGCTTAAGTCTACTAATATCGAGCCAGCTGACCTCTTCTCCTCCCTTCCAGAGCCCTCCTGGGCATTTCACAACTGCTACCCTACCAGCTGGATGCACGTTCGTCGCTCATTCATCATGTCTAGTTCATGAGCGTCAGTTTCTTTTGAAATGTGAGCTGCCGACCAGCGTCCCAGATTAAAGCAGCCTCGACACATCCCTTTGATGGCACCGTGATGACGTCGTTCGGCAGGCATGATACTAATTAACCATGGCGTGGTACAGTGCAACGACAAAATGATGAAGGGATGGCAATCTTCAACGAGGCTGACGCGTTATAGGAGGCCAGTTCCGGCAAACAGTGATAGATAACATTTTAATGATAGAAGAAAGGCCCCAGCCAGGCGAGCTGCGTGCAACGGCACCAACTGAACGACCTGGAAAATTTACAGGAGACCAAAAACCGTTACTTCGGATTGTGACTTAACCCCCGCATGTGTGCGGCGTTTGCCAGCGTAATGTGTACGGGGGGGGGGGGGGGGGTCGGTTGAACCCGCCTGCCGTTTGGCCCCTAATCGAGCTAGAGGTTCGCGGAAAAAACGAGCGTGTTGCCCGTGATGAGAGGAAGCCGATGACACCCAATTTTAAGGTCCTAGGTAATTGGTTGACCTTCCAGGTCAGGTCAATGGCCCAAAAGTCGAGAAAATCGGGACCTGTTAGAATTTCGTAAAGTGAAGCTGTTGTGGCTTTTTTTGGGGTGCTGATCACGAATTTCATATTACTTTTGATTACAGATGATGTCTTCATGCATTTAGGCCAGGTCGGGTCAGGTCAGGTCAGGTCGACCAGTAAACGTCCTGACGGCTATCCATAGTAGGTGTCAACTACCACTGACGGCGTCGTAACATGTTACGAAGGCACTAAACTACTTCGTAAATGTTCAAATGGATGCTAAATTCGAAATCAGCCCGAAAAACTACCCTTGAAACATGTAAAATACGAAAAAGTGAATCGAGGTCATCTAAGGTCAATGGCCTGACCTTCAGGTGACGTTGACACCCACCGTAATTCGTGGGACGAACATCATTTCACATGTTTCGACGTTTATAATCACAAAAAGACTGGAAACGCGCGGATACGAGGTGAGCTGACATACGCCAAATCGCGATTCCGGCCGAACATGGTCTCGAGAATCAGGTCACAGGTCAAAGGTCATTTAGGTCAGGGTCATGCAATTTTCAGGGTAACTGTAAAGTTGATCAACTCGCGGGTACTGAAAGTTTTGTCGCGATCAGCCGCAGTTTGCGCGAGTTATTTGGGAACAAACCATGGAGGGGGTCCATCCGACCCCTCCCCCGGCCCCTACACATGCGAGGGTTAAGGTAGATTTTGTATCGATTACCAATGGTGGCACCTTGTTGTCGAAACGTCTAAAATACAAAAAGATTTAGATTTTAATTATCATTTTGGTTTGCAACCATTAGTCACCATATTTCATAAAATCACAGAGCAAAGCGACATCGGCATTCGCCCATCCCGCTCCGTCCGTCGTCAAAACACATACCTTAGAGCCTCTTTAGCGGGTGTGTTCTCCTGGGATGGTGACTTTCTGCCAGCTCGATGGCCCTGGCCTCGACTGGGTCGCTAAACACGCTGCCGCAGCTGCCGGTGAAATCCATGGCGACCAGAGAACGAAAACTTTGCTGCAGAGGGAGAGAGAGGGGGGGGGGGCAGTCAGAAGTTCGGTAAAGGAAGGGGAGGGGGTAGATAGCAGACCTAGAATCTACATCGGACACCGCCGCACACGGAGGGTGTCAGGGTGCTCAGACGAGGCACAAAACACCCGACAGCCGGGCAACTACAAGCCATACACAATCTCAGGAAACGTAACGGACTCTGGGACCGTCCCGCTCACAAAACATGGTCGCGCGCCAGCCGTCGGTGAAACGTCGTCTCAAAGCTCCCACCCCATCCCTCTGCCCTGCTCCATCCCTCTCTCCTCGGCATTGGCATCGGCGAGCACCAGCAGACGAATCGCGGCCAAAATCGCCAGGCAGCGCATCAGGTCGCAGTGCATTGACAGCAAAGCTGCTCCAGAAGTGCAACGCAGCTTGTGACACGGATGAGGATCTCTTGTGGGCACGCACGTGAGTTGGGAACTCCCGTCCTCAACCGACACTGTGGGCACTGTTGTCCTCAACCGACGCGATGTTGCCACCAGACTGGTTATTGATTCGCCTTTTTTGGATCAATTCAATCATTGACTCATTTTATTTTTTTTCAAAGATTCAATCACCGTTCAATTCCTTAAAAAATGGTGAATCGATTCCTTTTGATTCAGAGATTAAAAAAGGAATGATGCACTTTTGATTGGGCCAAAAAATAATTGAACGATTCTTTTTCCGATTCAATTTAAAAAAAGAGCCCTGATTCAGGGATACTATTGCATCTGTCGTGTTCTTCTCGTCAGTGTTATGCAATTATCATCCCATGACACTGGCAGTATTGTTGATAATGAACTATCTGTACAGTTCAAATTTTCTTAAATTCATGAAGCATACACTTCTTTGATTCAATCAACCCTGATTCCCAATTCGTTTGATTCAATCATGACTTGTGAATCGAACAATCCTGACGGTGAACCAACCTTTTTGATTCAACAAATTTTGTTTTATACAGTCCAATCGATTCAATCACGGGTTAATCGAACACCAGTTTGGTTGCCACTCAGTGTGCTGAATATCACTGCACTGAATTGCACTGACCAACCAATTGAAACTACGTTAACACACAGACGTCTGGGGGGAGGGGGGTTGTGGATGGTTGATCCCACACGCAGCTTGAGTATGGCTAATCCTTCCACACGCAAAGCAAGCCAACTTCTTGAAAGGATAGTGTGTCGGCTGGTGGGACGTTCCCAGACATATATCGCACTTGGTGGACTGGCCGGACAGAACCACATACCTACTTCTTTGGCAACTGCTTAGACTGACAGGCAGACTCAGCATGTCTCGCCTTTGAACAATTGAAGCAAAATTGGGTCCTGAAAGGACACTGACTGGCCTGTTGCCTCCGACTGTTACACCTTGGACACCTCACCGTGGCTGCCGACCGGGCGAGATGCAGTTGTTGTGGTGCCACCTGGCTGAAGTGAAGTCCTGGCCTGTTGAGGTCACCCAGCTGGGTTCTGGTCACCTCCAGGCGTTGGGCCATTTCCACAGCCTTTTGAAGCGTCAGGTGTGGATCTGCAAAAAACTTCTGCAACTCCGGGTCCTTACACCTGGCAACAGCACATTCCAACACAACAGTTTCTCTGGCTACAATATAACCACAGCGATCCGCCTGCAGTCTCAAGTAAGGCCGCGAGATATGAATGCGTCAAACCGCTCCCCCTCATTCCTGTACATTGTACAAATCATGTAATATAGACATTTCGTATGTGACATTCACTTGTGGTTGAAACAGGCTTTCAGCTTTTCTGTAAGCAGCTTGTACTTATCTGCAGAACGTGACCCTCCAGCAGGTTAGGGGAGAGTGCGTACAATTTCCTGGACTTCTAGTACCATAAGCGTTTGACGAACAACGGCACAATGCAAAGTGAAGCATTGGGCCTTGCAAGGAGTGCATACACTCACGATTTAAGATAGTTTTAGATCGTAAGTGGTTAAGCGTTCTGAGGAAAATCATCATGAGAAGTATGCGCATCCGGCTGACCTTATCCTCACTTCTGTATGGAAATATGAAATTGCAAAAAGCAGTCACGAAGAGAATTATATCTGAAACAATCAAGGACAAGATGGGCAAAGACATTGTAGCTGCCATCCGCCCTCACCACTCGCGCTGCGCTGAACTCTATGGCTTACCGAAGACACACAAGGAAGGTGAGCCATTGAGACCTATAGTCTCTGGGATTGACAATCCAGTGGATAGGCTAAGCTGGTTGTTAGAACAAGTTACGTCACAGTTGCTGAGGTACATACCTGCACACTTGAAGGACACCGGTGAATTTCTGGATAGAGTAAAAGAAAAATATCCCACAGGATTCCCTGCTGGCAGCATCGCTTTCAGCGCTGACGTTAAAAATCTCTACGGGAACGTGCCAACCCAAGAAGCGATTGAAGCTGTCATGGAGCTCATACGTGAACACATCAACGAGCTGAATCTGTTTGGGCTGGTTCCAGAAGATGTTGAAGTCCTGCTCACCCACTGCCTACAAAACAACTTCTTTCGATTCAATGAAAACTTCTACAAACAATCTGATGGGATAGCCATGGGATCCAGGATTGCGCCATCTCTGGCCATAGTGTTCATGGGGAAGCTGGAAGCAGAGGCACTGCAGGTGGACAGACCTCAGCCAGACATGTATGTTAGGTACATCGATGACATATGGTGTCTCTGGACGCACGGCAGCGAGGCGCTAACTGAATATCTGGCCTTCCTCAACTCGAGACATCCGGCCATTCAATTCACGATTGAGCGATCAGACCAGGACGGGACGCTGCCATACCTGGACACACTGATAAGCGTGCGACAGGACGGCTCGTACAGCACGGAGCTGTATTTCAAGCCCATGGCGGCACCGATCATTCTGCCGTATGACTCGGCACATGCCAGGTCTACAAAGAAGGCTGTGCTCACATCACAGATCACTAGGGCGATCCGTCTTGGCTCAGACACAGCGGCAAGAAAAAGAGGGCTCGAGAAGATACGTCATCTGTTTGTCAGTAATGGATATCCGATGAAGATGATCAAGGAGTACAGTTGGAGGGAAATGAAGAAACATGAAGAGAGAAGCAGAGACAGAGGAAGAGAACGACGGGAACGGCCAGATCAGCGACAACAGAACAAGAAGAAGCAAGGCACATATATCCGACTGCCCTTCGTTAATGACAAGGTGGCTGCTCAGGTGAAGAAGGTTGCAATCAACTCTGGATTACCAGTGGAGATAGCATGGACCACCAACAACACCCTGAAGAAACGACTGGTCAAGACACGACTGAACCCAGCCCCCTGCCCCTCGGGACGAAGGTGCTGTCATTCATGCCAGGCGGGGCTACAGTCCAAGTGCACGACCAAAAACGTGGTATATGAACTTACCTGCAGTCACTGCGGCGACACCTACATCGGAGAAACGAGCAGGCCAGTTAGACTCCGCTACAACGAGCATCGGAGGAACGGCATTAACAGAGAAGAGGACACTCCCCTAGGAGAGCATGCGCTGCATAAGCACCCTGAGATGGATCGACGCGACATCTCGGCGACGGCCAAAATCCTGCGTGTATGCAAAGACGAAGCGGATAGAAGAATCGCTGAATCCATCTTCATCCGGGACGCCAGGCCCAAAATTAACGATAACACTACATCATGGCAGCTTCTTCCAAAATAATGTATATAAATGTGCGTGAATTGGTTCTTGAAAGATACCTATATATGTACTGCTAGTTTAACTGGGGAATTATGTTTAGATATATTTTTTAAGGTAGGAACTAGGGTGATCAATTTGCACGGGATCTGTGTATTTAAATTTCTTACTGCGACATTACTGAAGAACTTGAGACGAATTCGACATTGTGTGCCTATTATGTGTGTAAATAATTGCAATCGACCGATGAAGAGCTGTGCTTGAAATATCTCGATTTTCAATACAGTAATTAATTTTGCAATTTCATATTTCCATACAGAAGTGAGGATAAGGTCAGCCGGATGCGCATACTTCTCATAGTTTTAGATCATCCACGAAGCCAAAATAATACTGAACTAGGAGCCTCATCCCCTATTGGCTGTCAGTTATGGTACTACGCTCGCAACACCGAAGTGGGAGCCTCATCCCCAACTGTCTGTCAGTCATGACACTATCCCTATTGTCTGTCAGTCATGGGACTATGCTCACAATACCGAAGTAGGAGCCTCATCCCCTAGTGTCAGTCATGGAACTGTCCTCTACGGTGTCTCAGTCATGGGACTACGCTCACAATACCGAAGAAGGAGCCTCATCCCCTACTGTCAGTCATGGGACTGTCCTCTACGGTGTCTCAGTCATGGGACTACGCTCACAATACCGAAGTAGGAGCATCCCCTACTGTCTGTCAGTCATGGCACTATACCTACTGTCTGTCAGTCATGGGACTACGCTCACAATACCGAAGTAACAGCCTCATCCCCTACTGTCTGTCAGTCATGGCACTATACCTACTGTCTGTCAGTCATGGGACTACGCTCACAATACCGAAGTAGGAGCCTCATCCCCTACTGTCTGTCAGTCATGGCACTATACCTACCGTCTGTCAGTCATGGGACTGTCCTCTACGGTGTATCAGTCATGGGACTACGCTCACAATACCGAAGTAGGAGCCTCATCCCCTATTGTCTTTCAGTCATGGCACTATCCCTACTGTCGGTCAGTCATGGGTCTACGCTCACAGTACCGAAGAAGGAGCCTCATCCCCTACTGTCTGTCAGTCATGGCACTATACCTACCGTCTGTCAGTCATGGGACTACGCTCACAATACCGAAGTAGGAGCCTCATCCCCTACTGTCTGGCAGTCATGGCACTATACCTACTGTCTGTCAGTCATGGGACTACGCTCACAATAACGAAGTAGGAGCCTCATCCCCTACCGTCTGTGAGTCATGGGACTGTCCTCTACGGTGTCTCAGTCATGGGACTACGCTCACAATACCGAAGTAGGAGCCTCATCCCCTATTGTCTGTCAGTCATGGCACTATCCCTACTGTCTGTCAGTCATGGGACTACGCTAACAATACCGAAGTAGGGCCTCATCCCCTACTGTCAGTCATGGCACTCTGTCAGTCATGGCACTATACCTACTGTCTGTCAGTCATGGCACTATACCTACTGTCTGTCAGTCATGGTACTACGCTCACAATACCGAAGTAGGAGCCTCATCCCCTACTGTCTGTCAGTTATGGCACTATACCTACCGTCTGTAAGTCATGGGACTACGCTCACAATACCGAAGTAGGAGCCTCATCCCCTAATGTCTGTCAGTCATGGCACTATCCCTACTGTCTGTCAGTCATGGAACTACGCTCACAATACCAAAGTAGGAGCCTCATCCCCTACTGTCTGTCAGTCATGGGACTGTCCCCTACGGTCAGTCAGTCATGGGACTACGCTCACAATACCGAAGTAGGAGCCTCATCCCCTACTGTCAGTCATGGAACTGTCCTCTACGGTGTCTCAGTCATGGGACTACGCTCACAATACCGAAGTAGGAGCCTCATCCCCTACTGTCTGTCAGTCATGGCACTGTCTCTACCGTCTGTCAGTCATGGGACTACGCTCACAATACCGAAGTAGGAGCCTCATCCCCTACTGTCAGTCATGGGACTGTCCTCTACGGTGTGTCAGTCATGGGACTACGCTCACAATACCGAAGTAGGAGCCTCATCCCCTACCGTCTGTCAGTCATGGTACTATCCCTACTGTCTGTCAGTCATGGGACTACGCTCACAATACCGAAGTAGGAGCCTCATCCCCTACTGTCTATCAGTCATGGCACTATCCCTACTGTCTGTCAGTCATGGGACTACGCTCACAATACCGAAGTAGGAGCCTCATCCCCTACCGTCTGTCAGTCATGGGACTGTCCTCTACGGTGTCTCAGTTATGGGACTACGCTCACAATACCGAAGTAGGAGCCTCATCCCCTACCGTCTGTCAGTCATAGGACTGTCCCCTACTGTCAGTCAGTCATGGGACTACGCTCACAATACCGAAGTAGGAGCCTCATCCCCTACTGTCAGTCATGGAACTGTCCTCTACGGTGTCTCAGTCATGGGACTACGCTCACAATACCGAAGTAGGAGCCTCATCCCCTACTGTCTGTCAGTCATGGCACTATACCTACCGTCTGTCAGTCATGGGACTACGCTCACAATACCGAAGTAGGAGCCTCATCCCCTACTGTCTGTCAGTCATGGTACTATCCCTACTGTCTATCAGTCATGGGACTACGCTCACAATACCGAAGTAGGAGCCTCATCCCCTACTGTCTGTCAGTCATGGCACTATCCCTACTGTCTGTCAGTCATGGGACTACGCTCACAATACCGAAGTAGGA